GCCCCATGTTTGGGGCTAGCCATGGGAAGAATGATAACTGCCAGAAAAAGTGGAATGGAGAAGTGCCCTGTTGTATAGAAGAGGCAAGGGTGGATGAGCCAGACAAAAGAGCAGACATGCCCTTGAGTCTGGTGTAGTGGTACCAGCAGTGATGTTCCAAGAGCTTGGGGGAATATTACACCAAATCGAGGGGTGATGTGTTCCAGAAGTACAGGAGTCATCCCATCTGCTGTTTCCTTAGAGGTTGGGAGTGCATCCATTCTGCAAAGGTGTCAGTAAGAGTTAAGAGATAATGGAACTTTTCATGAGTGAGGACATGGGTGAAATCAACCTGTCAGTACTCACCTGATTGGTGTTCTCGGAGCTGGTGCAGTGGTTGGTGGAAGGGTTTGGCCTTGGCATGAGTCTGGCAGGAGGGGTAGACTGGTGCAGGAACCTGCAAGTGTCTACAACTGGAATAAATTTATATCTGTGTCATAGCAAAAGGCTAGAAATTGAAGGACTCCTGAAAAAACTGTTTGAAGTCAGTGTTCTATCAGTTTATCAAAACTGCATTTATCAATATTAGAACTTTGAACCTCCAAAGTTACGTCTGAAATCAGTTTCTCCTGTACCATGGAGTCTATGAATGAGGCACACCTGTCTGTACTTTTAACAGGAAACTTGTTAATGAGCTACCAAGATGCTTGGGGTTGGGGGAGAGCTGTAAAACTGGCAAACACCATTAGATCTGAGAGGGATAAGTAAATGAACAGAGGTGAGACAGCTTTCCACCCATGTAGGCAGTCCCAGCTTTCTCTTAAATGTGAAGGAGGGCTTCCCATCCACCCCATGACAGGAATTGGCAAGGGAACTGTGGGACCCGAGGAAGAGGTTAGAATAGAGTAGGTAGCTCCTAAGTCCAGTAGAAGGTCAATGGATTTACCCAATATCTGTAGTGTTACCCCAGGCTTGAAGAGAGGATGGGAATCACCAAGTCTAGACAATGACAATCCTCCACCAGGCTTAGGAGTTCAAAGGCTGGAAGAGTCAGATGTCAGTGTCAGTGAGGCTGGACCTCTGTGATGTGGCATAGAGTTCAGGCCTGCACAGGGCATTCCCATCTCCAGTTTCCAGGCTGTCGGCAGACAGGGCATGGCCTCGTGGGTGGCTGAGGGTCAGGGCAATACCCTGACCAGTGACTCCAGCTTGCATTTGATGCAAGCTCCTGGCAGAGTTGACTTGGGATGAGCTCCAGTGGGATGGAGCAGGATGGACTTCCCTTGTTCCCTTTATGGTGGCCCTGGTGGCCTCAGGGCAGCTTCCAAGGTATGGGCTTGGAGCGTAGCCTTCTGTTGCAGCTGGGCCTGTCGGGAAAACTCAGCTGCCTCTTTTTGGGGTGTTAAAAAAAGCCATTTCACCAATTCATGTATGGGGGTTGGGGACCCTCCTCACCGCCTTTAAAACTTACCAATATGTAAGTAAAAGTGAGAAGGTTAGGCATAAATTAGTCTTTGTTAGCCTTAGTAGACCTTAGATAAGGAGAGGCGTTCTCTAAGCCATTGGTTTATAACTTTCTCAATTCTTTGACCTCTCAATATAGTTTCCCATGTTGTGGTAACCCCTATTACAAAATTTTTCCCATTGCTATTTCACAACTGCAGTTTTGTCATTGTTTTGAATCTCAGTGTAAACATCTGTCATGCAGGTGGTCCTAGGCTACCCTTATAAAAAGGTTTTGTTTTTTTTTGTTTTTTTTAGCCCACAAAGGGTTAAGACTCATGGGTCAGAAGCTGCTCTAAGCCCCTTGCCAGACCATTTAGGTCATTGTCTTGCTGCATCACAAGATAAGCAAAAGAAGCAAGATCATTGCGGGGCTAGCTAAGGCAGACTCCAGGGTGATTTTCTTGTTGTTGCTGCCTTTCTCTCATGGATCCACTTTTTCAGCAGAGCCATGGAGTTTCTAATGACCCCTAAGTGGTTAACATAAAAACAGCATTGCTCTCCTAATGCCTTGCATAGGCCCCCTTGTTGAAGGAATGATAACCAGGGGACCAATTGAACAAATTTTAGGTCAAGACCCCTTCAGTCCTGGAGAACTATTTCAGCTAGAGAGGAGAGTGATTCCTCTAAATGTATAACAGATTTTCCTAGGGCAGTGATATCCGTATCTACTGTCATTTTTAAGACCCTGTAGTTCTGATCTTTGAGTACAGCCTGTAACAGCCAGATTATTTTTCTGGCTGATATATATATACACAGAAATAATACTTTCTTAAAGCCATATAATACCTCTTTGGTTCTGCATAAAGAATGTCAAATGTCTTATCTTATTGCAGAAACATTTTAGTTAATCTGTCAATTGACAACTCTGGGCCCAGTTTCCTGGTATGTCAATGAGCATTATAAGTAGTCATTTTGTCCCCTATGCCAGGGAGTTTCCTTTGGACTCAGCACTTCAACCTGTTATGGTCAGGGAGCATGAGGACTGCATGGATGGGCTGGGGTACCAGGCCTTCACCAGGTTAGGCCAGCACATAGTGAGTTCAGTTGAGGCTAGGCCTAAGGGTTGTGGATCACGAGGCTCAGCTGCCAGGCTGGGCCAGCACCTCAGATGTGCAAGTAGGGATCAGCCTGCAGATTTGGAATGGTGTAGGCAAAAAGATGCCTGGGAGACTCACTAGGCCTGGCAGGTGCAGAGGATGTATGACCAGGGATAGGCCTGGGGTCGGAGACAGCATATTTCTTGACAATTTGTGATGACAATCACATCCCTGACCCCAACTTCCTCTCATCCTATCAATAGCCCCTTTTTTACCACAGCCTTTCCCAGATTCATGAATTAAGGTTTTGCTTTCTGGTCCACTTTGTTTAACCAGGACCCTTTCTGTCATCATTGGATTAAAGCTATCAGCTGGAGTCTGGTGGAATCAGCAGTGGGTACACAATTGAAGGGCAGGACTCTCCTTTTCCATGAATCTATTATTAGCTGTGAGTACAGCAGTGAGAAGTAGGTCATCTCAAGCCCCTCACCCCTGCTGACTTCTGTTGCTAGAGTTTTTCTGCCTGGCCCACAGTCAGGGCAAATCTCTCTCACCCGCCAGTCCCAAGCCGCTCAAACCCGATCAAGTAAACACAGAGACTTATTTTGGTTACAAACTGTATGGCCATGGCAGGCTTCTTGCTAACTGTTCTTACAGCTTAAATTAATCAATTTCTATTAATCTATACCTTGCCACGTGGCTTGTGGCTTACCGGTACTTTACATCTTCCTTGTCCTGATGGCGGCTGGCAGTGTCTCCCTCACCAGCTTCCTGTTCTCTCAATTTTCCTCTCTGTTAGTCCCGCCTATACTTCCTGCCTGGCCACTGCCAATCAGTGATTTATTCATTGACCAATCAGCAACACATTTGACATACAGACCATCCCACAGCACCTCTCCTTTTCTTTTCTTAAAAAGGAAGGTTTTAACCTTTACACATCTCCAAAGTTAGCTTGGTATATTTGGGAATTTGGGCGTAGCTTCTCTTACTACTTCCTGCTGGAGGGGGGCGCTGTATCTTCTGGGGAAACAAAGAAAATTTTAGGATCATGGAGTAGTCCGTGAGGCTGTATCATCTGAGCCAGTTGTCTTGAAACGGTTCTGGATGTTGGATCATCTGGGCCATGGTGTCATCGGAGACCTTTCAGGGGGTCTTGGCTGGTCAAACCTGATGTATCTTACTCTGGAACAAATCCATAGCCTCTTGTTTTCTGTGGAAACAAAAGAGACTCTTTTCCAAAGCAACATATCCTTACATTCAAATTTTGAAGTCAAAGTATCTTTAAAATATACGTACTGGTTTAACTCAGCTTTCTTTACAATCAAACATCTCTCTGTAGTTAAGAATCCCAAAGACAACACAATCCAGACTCTCTGTGTAATAGTCATCTCTACGTGGCTTATTTTTTATATTAATTTTACTGTCTCTTTAAAGACTTTATTTTTTAAAACCATGTATTTGTTTCTATACTGTATATATCACCTTTTTTTTGTCTCTTTTAAGCCTACGTATATTTTACACACATTTTAAACTATTACATCTGAATCTGTCTTATTGTGAATCTATTGTTTTAAGCTGCAGCAGCTGTGGCTGCTGGCTCCGCCCACCTCAGCTTCTCAACGTGGCCTGGTACTTTACCACCAGCTCTGGGAGCCATCGTGGGTCTATGCTTTTATCCAAGCAGCGTGTAGCCCAGAAACCTCTTTTTTTGTTTTGTACTAGCAAAGGCTAAATCCACAATATAGCTTAATGTGCCACTTGCAGAGGCCTCATTCCCGCCATACTGCAGGTCGAGCGCGCACGCCAGCAACCCGCCAGTAGCTCAAACCGGCAGCTGCCGCTCATTTGAGAGAGACAATTAGGAAGCTGTTTTTCGCTCCGTTTTAGAATCTTTTTTCTCAGGTTTTAGGTGGAAACTCTTGCCACCACGTTGGACGCCATTTGTTGCTAGAGTTTTTCTGCCTGGCCCACAGTCAGGGCAAATCTCTCTCACCCGCCAGTCCCAAGCCGCTCAAACCCGATCAAGTAAACACAGAGACTTATTTTGGTTACAAACTGTATGGCCGTGGCAGGCTTCTTGCTAACTGTTCTTACAGCTTAAATTAATCCATTTCTATTAATCTATACCTTGCCACGTGGCTTGTGGCTTACCGGTACTTTACATCTTCCTTGTCCTGATGGCGGCTGGCAGTGTCTCCCTCACCAGCTTCCTGTTCTCTCAATTTTCCTCTCTGTTAGTCCCGCCTATACTTCCTGCCTGGCCACTGCCAATCAGTGATTTATTCATTGACCAATCAGCAACACATTTGACATACAGACCATCCCAATCCCGTGTAGACCCAGTGGAGACATCCACAACTGTAGTTCATGACTGCAATGGCTGTGTCTGGCCCAGAAAACTTCACAGCCCCTTTCCTTGTCTCTTGTCTCTTACTACCTATTTTTTTTTCTTTCTTCTTCTGTTTTTTTCCTGTGAAGGTTTGGTCGATATTACAAATGATCCAGACTTTGATGGAATCTATGATGAAGACATGAATGAAGATCCAACATATGATCCCAATAGCCCTGAAGAAAAGGCTGTATTTATGAAATATGCTGAAAACATTATGCTAAAGCTGACATTCAGTACCACAAAAGTTCAACAGCATGAAAACATCTTTATATTTGAGACAGCCTATTGGCTTACTAATGCTATAAAGTACAATCAAGATTATCTGGATATTTGTACTTACCAGAGACTACAACAAAGGCTATATCTTCAAAAAAAAGTTATTCAAAAACACTTTGAGAAAAAAAAAGAAATCAGAAGAGGGATAGGCTATCTGAAGTTAATATGTTTTCTAATTCCATTTTTACTCAGTTTAAAAAAGAGGATGAAAGTTCCATATTTAAATAGTCTGCTTCCACCATTTTCAGGTAAGAGAATAAGCAAAATTAGACTTCATCTTTCCTGGAATTTCAGAAAACTATTATTTTAATTATTTGCCTGCATGTATGTCCATATGAGGATGTTGGATTCCCTGGAAATGGAGTTACAGACAGTTGTGAGCTGCCGTGTGCGTGCTGGGAATTGAACCCAGTCCTCTAGAAGAGCAGCCAGTGCTCTTAACCATTGAGCCATCTCCCCAGCCTCCAGGAAATTATTTTTCAAATAAGTAGTATATATGTTTTCATTACTTTCCAGTAATAGGAGCTGATTATTTTTATCAAATGATATAGTAGTTTGAATAAGAATGGCCCCCATATGCTCATAGATTTAAAAGCTTGGTCTTTAGGGAGGAAGTTTGCCACTGGGGGTAGGCTTTGGGGGTTTCAAAAGCTCAAGTCAGGCCCAGTGTCTCACTCTTCCTGATGCCTGGGGATCCATATGTAGAACTCTCAGCTCCTTCTCCAGCACTATGTCTGTCTGAGTGTCACAATGCTTCCTACCATGACAATAATGGACTAAACCTCTGAAACTGTAAGCCAGCCCCAATTAAATGCTTTCTTTTATGAGTTGCCACGATCATGGTGTCTCTCTACAGCAATAGAACACTATAAGAGTTGCCGTGGTCATGATGTGTCTCTACAGCAAGACAACAGTGACTATAAGAGTTGCCGTGGTCATGATGTGTCTCTACAGCAAGACAACACTGACTATCAGAGTTGCTGTGGTCATGGTGTCTCTATAGCAACAGAACACTGACTATAAGAGTTGCTGTGGTCATGGTGTCTCTACAGCAACAGAACACTGACTATAAGAGTTGCTGTGGTCATGGTGTCTCTCTATAGCAAGACAACACTTACTATCAGAGTTGCTGTGGTCATGGTGTCTCTCCACAGCAACAGAGCACTGACTGAGACAGATGGAAATACCTACTTAGTTCTTTATAAGTGGAAATGACTACTTGGTTCTTTAGAGTGTCTCTTTTGCCTGAAGAAGCTCAAGAGAGTTTTTGTTGTTGTTGTTGTGGTGGTGGTGGTGGTGGTGGTGGTGGTGGTGGTGGTGGTGGTGGTGGTTTAAACAAAAGTTACCAAAGTCACAGAATTCCAACCCAATAATTGAGGAGTTATATGTTAGTATCGACTCATAGCTGTCAATCAGAATATTTTTAACAATGCCTTTGAAATATTTATACAGTAAAACCACAAGAAATGCTCAAAATGCATAGAAATATATTTTATTGCCAAGCAGTGGTAGTGCACACCTTTAATCCAGCACTCAGGATCTCTATGAGTTTGAGGCCAGCCTGGTCTACATAGTGAGTTCCAGGACAGCCACGGCTACACAGAGAAACCCTGTCTTGAAAAACATATACATATACATGTGTGTGTGTGTATATGTATGTATTATATAATACATTAACAATAATGTATATAGTATTGTTAAAAATGAAATACATGGATATATGTATATTTATTTACTTATCTATTTATTTGCTGGTGGTCCTGATGGCACAGGCCTCTAGTCCCAGCTACTCAGGACAGAGGCAAAAGGATCACATACTGAAGTCTAACTTGTACAACAGAATGAATTCAAGGGTATCCTAGGCAACATAGTGGAGCATGGCTCAAAATGAAGAGTAAAAGAGGGCTGGGGGTATAGCTCAATGACTGACCACTTGTGTATTCAAGGCTCTCAATTCACTCTCTAGTACCACAAATAAATGTGTGTGTGTGTGTGTGTGTGTGTGTGTGTGTGTGTGTGTGTGTGTACTGAGAAAGACAGAATAAATAATTTATAGTCAGTTATTGCCAAATTCTAAATCTCATCTGGATTTTTCACAATGTTTACACGAATGGTAATCAGATATCTAAAATACAATCATCTATGTGTTGTCTACATTTTAAATAAAAGTTTCTTTTTATTTCTGGAGATGACAAAGTCAAGACAGAGAGAGAACTGCCTCCATTTATTTATGGACGAGATTTTAAATGCCAGAATTTTGACTACAAAGAACACCAGTATTTCCATGTTCATGGAGGAATTGAATTTGATATCAGCACGAATCCAGTTGAGAGTGCTTTGGATGACTTTAAGGTTTTTGAATTATTAGCATTTCTGAGATGTTTTTGTTGTTTGAGCTGTCTTTACAGGTTTTTACTGAGAAAGAGCTTCTGTGGGTGCAGGCACTGTGCACACCTCTAGACAATCATTCTCACAGTTCACTAGCTTTTCTCACACATTGAAATAAGTGTGAACCGAGTGCAGCTACTTCCCAGCGACTGTGTTGGAGAAGAAGCCGATAGACAAACCAGATACAGTCACTTCCATCACAGACTTTACAGATTCCAAATGAGCAACTTTTGTCCTTGGATAGTTAACTAAAGTATACAATAGAAATCCACGAGCACATGGCTGATCCTGGTGGCACACACCTGCAATGCCAGCAGGCAAGAAGGGTCATGAGTTCAAAGCTGACCAACCACACATCATAGAGCGACTTCATTAGAGAGAGAGAGACAGAGAGAGAGAGACCAAAAACAAACAAATCCCTGAACACTTATGCCAAGCCATCCATGTTTCTCAAAGATTATGACAAGAAAAAAAAAAAAAAACAGCTTGAGTTTGAGAAGAGTGAGTCCCCAGGAGCCAGGTGACATCATGTGCATCAGTCCCCTTATTTGTTTGTTGCTTGTCTGTCCACATTATACATCATCATACCTATTATGTATTTTCTTTTTAATCTTTGTTATTTATTCTCAAACTGGGAACTGGATACACACAGTTATTACCAAATTTCTCTGGGGCTTTATTTTTTTCCATTTGCATTTATACAATTTCATATAATGGATCTTGTCATTATTAAGTTTGTTTAAAAAGATTTTTAATGTGTGATTTGTATTTTAGAAAAATGTAGAGAAAATACAGGAGTGTGCTGCTAATACCTTTGCAGAAGATTCAGGATACAAAGAATTTTACTCAGTACCAGTCATGGAGTTTTATGGAAAGAGGTAAGGAGCTTCCCATTCATACCAGCCACAGCTTGATGAATGTTAGCAGAAAACAAGAAAGTGTCAAAATGCAAAGACTAGCTTAGTCTTAGGATGGTGAACCTAGAATGGTGATGATCTTATGGACGACAGACTCAAAAGAGTACTAACTAGTTGTTATCTCACACACTTTGATACATCCTGCAAATGACCATAGAATTAATTCTTACAGTGAGCACCAATGTTAAATAGGGATGGTGGTGGGAACCAAACTATGAAGGGGAGTTGGAAGGAGTGGACACAGCAGCACACACTCTTTCATTTCCGTAAGGAGTCTATTAAAAGCTCCAAACCCTCCCTGCCAGACCTTGCTATGCCCTTCATCTTCTGAAATGGTAGATTTTTTCCAGTGTTGCTAGGGTCTCTCATGAACTGTGTTCTTATATTTTACCATGAATACAAGTTTGAAAACATGGGTTATAGAGCGCAGAGAAAATATCTGAATGAGAGGTGGAGAAAAGCATGTTGGAAGTTTCATTTGCCTGTTTGTCCTCTGGTAGCCTGGAGGTAGCTGAGGACCAAGTTTCTATTCTGGAGAACAGAAATTTCAAAAATGGAGTAGGGAGAAATGTGGAAGAGAGAGTAGATGAGATTGAGAGGGCATAACACACAAGGAAGAAAACCAGGAGACCGTGTGGCATAGCAGCCCAGTAGGGTATGTGTAAGAATATGAAATAGTGAAAGTATCAGATACAACAGAAAATGACAACTCAAGTTAAGAGTGAACAGCTTCCTCTAATATTGGCTGTGATTTGGTAGGAGAATTTTAATGAGACGGTGATTAAGGGGGACTTACTTGCAGCAAGTTATAGGGTAACGTGGGGGGGAAGTTAATGAAATGGGAAGAGGTAAAAATAGAGATCATACCTGTTGAAGATGCATGGGGATGGATAAGAGACATGAGGCTAAGGGAACATGAAGACAAACGATGGAATGTGATCAATCTTTCTATTGAGTACTGCCTGTAATGTACTGCACGCATGAAGCTGAAGACGTGGTGGCCCTGGTTCTGAAGGAGGAAGAGCGGTGTGAGGACGCAGATGTTTGAGCACCTGTGTGAAGCTGCCTCTTCCTTACATGCAGAGTACCTGAAATGGTTTGTCGCCTCTCTAGAAGAGGAAGGTCTTGCTTAAAGATCCAGCACCTATTGAATAGACAGTCCTCACCGGGCTGCATGATGTCCTGGAGACATCTGTGAATGAACTTTTATTCTCCAGCTTCTGCCAAGCTTCTGGGACACCACTGATCCTGGAAGGGCAGGGGAGCTGCAGGGAGAAGAGCTAGATTAATGAGAGGCTGTCCTCAGTTTAGCTCGGTATACGTATCCTGCTATTGCATGGTTAGAGATCCAACCACTGCAATGTGATGTCATAACCGTTTCTGTTTCTCTAGTTCCTGACGAATGCACAGCATTTGGGAATCAGTGTTGGTGAATCATAGGGAGATAGATAGGACTTTTCAAGTTTTAAAAGCTGTAATAGTTGCTGAGAGATGGCTCAGCGGGTAAAGTGCTTACTGAGCATCCGTGAGAGTCTGAGAGCTGATCCCTAACATCAGAGTGTGCCTGTGGTTCCAGCGCTGGGAGGTGGGAACAGGAGGATCCCAGGGACTCACTGGCTACTTACACTAGCCAATCAGTGAGCCTCGGGCTCAGTGAAAGACTCTGCTTCAAAACATGAGGTGGAGAGTCATGAAGGAAGACAACCTCTGGACACACACACACACACACACACACACACACTCATGCATACATCCCTAATAAAAATAAATACAAAATAAGCTTGTTTCTAGATCCAGACAGCAAGAAATAAAAATAAAAAACCACAAGTAAGTAATCAGAATTTTCAAGACTCACATATCAATTACTAGAGAAACTTCATCCTGTATAAAATCCAACCTCTGCATATTTTTTATTGGAGTTCCATGTGCTAATTGGCTGGTATTTTCAACTGCAATGAGAAATCTTTGGCTGCTTCTTTTCCTGCCCAGGTTCCCTGGTATCTCCTGCTGGGTACTCAGCTGCCAATAAGCTCTGTAAAGGCAACTACACAAATATCATCTTTGATAACCACTGCTTCAGGCTAGGCGGCAGCTGTCCTCTCAGGCTGGCCCTTCACTATGCTTGGCAAATGGCATGCATCTAAGTTAGATTTGACACCAATGCAATGAAATGAGTTCCTTTCCCAGTTAATGTTTTCAAAGCAGTGCTACCTTAAAACCCCAATAATTTCAAGCTGCTTCCCCTGCCCCATAATGCAGAGGTGCAACAGTGCTGAACCCAAGATAATGTGAATGAATGAAAACAGGGCATTTTAAAATCTCTTGCTGTCTTTGATTTTATGAAATGGTTACTACATTGAGCTCATAGAGTGTTCCTGTCATTTTCCTCTGATTTACTTCCCAAGGGATTCCTTGTCCTTTTTATTTCCACTAGGTCCTACAGTCACACTCAGAAGCATCCAGATCCTAGATTCATTTTAGTTTCAGGGAGAGTTTTCCCATCATACCAGAAAAACATCATGATATCAAATAGATGCTCAATGAATTGGAAGTCTATGAAATTAGAAAAACTCATGACTCATAAAGATGACAATTATTGTAACAAATAGATTAACTGTCCTAAAATACCCAGTTTGGAGAAGAACATACCAGTATCATGACACTGTTGAAAATGTAGGAAGTTGATCAGAAATCTGCTTAATGAAATGAGTGTCAGGGAAGCTCCTCACCACAGTACCTAAGCCAGGTACACACTTCCAGGCAGACGAAGATGGAGGTAGTGAGTTTTGAAATGAGACTTCCCTAAAGTCCCTAACCACACTTAAGGTTTGAGTAAGAGATGTAGAATGTCAGCACACAGGAGTTGAATGAAGACCTGGTTGAAATATCTAGCCATTAACTGAAACACGGGCCATCTGGGAGTTCTTCTAACAAGGCTCTCTCTGTGGCCAGTGCAACCTTACTGGACAGCTGACCATGGACATCACAAAATTATCTCACCAGAGAGGCTCTCAGGGTACAAGCAAACTATTACTCCTCAAGTTTCTAGTGTCGTAGAGAACCCCCAACCAGGCTCTGGATACAGTCTTAAGGTGACACCAAGAGGCACAAAATGCTTCTCTTTAGACTGTCTTCACTCCTGGCAGAACAGTTACAATGCCTCCTCTTGGGAGGCAGAAGCACTCCCCAGAGAAGAAGCCACTGGAGGGAACAGAGTACTTCAGTATCTTGTCACTGCTTTACTCCTGAATGAGACTGGCCATGTTGGTTACGATGCTTCCATCTCATGTCTCAGAGTGGGAGTCTCTTTAACCTACTGGTGCAGTAAAAGCCAAGGAGCCATGACCTAAAACACCATTCCAGGTTGGGCTTAAGGTAAATTATCCTTCGGGAAGGCGTCTTATGGACACAATTTGATTAAAACAGTAAAGAGGAAGAACAACAGATGGAAGATAAACCTAGGACTCTTTCCCTAGAACTTGGGCTTCTAGTGACTTCTAAACAGTGCTGTAGTAGTTGGGTTGTTTTGTTGTTGTTTGTTTTGCCTGTTTGTTTTTACTCTTTGCTCTTTGGCGGCCCACGACCCAGCTCCCAAGTAAATACACAGAGACTTACTCTTTCTTATGAATGCCCCGCCTTAGCTTGGCTTATTTCTAGCTAGCTTTTCTTACATTACCCTGCCTATCTTTTGCCTCTGGGCTTTGACTTTTCTCTGTTCTCTGTCTTTCTTCCCCTTTCACTCTGCAGCTTGTGTGGCTGGGTGGCTGGTCCTTGGCTTCCTACTGCCCTCCTTTCCTCAGCCTTCCTTTCTTCTCCTCCAATTTATCTCTCTGCCTGGCAGCCCCTCCTACCCTTTCTCCTGCCTTGCTATTGGCCATTCAGCTCTTTATTAGACCAATCTGGTGTTTTAGGCAGGCAAAGTATCACAGCTTTACAGAGTTAAACAAATGCAACATAAAAGAGTGCAACACATCTTTGCATCATTAAACTAACATTCCACAACATAAACGAATGTAACACATCTTTAACTAATACTCCATAACACAGTACCCCAATCTCTGTCATGGGAATACAGGACCAACCCAAATGGTCCATATAAGGGTAATTATCAAGATAAAGAACTGTTGATAATAATGGTAGTATTTTTAACAATCAAGTATAGCTCAAACTATAGTTCCGTATATAATTATTATGGAATAAGCAAGTTTTGACAGAAAATAAATAAGTAGCAAATTACTTCAAAGCTATAAAAAAACCCACTCTTTTTCTTTATTTTTTTATAGTTACTATGTGATCTATTTTGATCTTGAAATTTTCTACCAGCAACTATATAAGACTCAATGGTGGGGAGCCATAAATGAAATCATCAACAATCTGAGATTGAAAAGACTTCCACTGACTGAAGCTCAATTACATGAGCAGTTTAAGAAAAAATTTGGTTTCAAAAAAGCTATAAAGTGCAAGGTATTTCACTGACTGTCACATAATTTTGTGTAAGAAGTTACATATTACCATAAGTTCATGTCTCATATTCTATCCTAGATGGAAGGTCTAGAATATGAGGTTCAAGAAAGACACTGAGATCAGTTGTTGGGGGTATGGAGTTTACTAGAAGAGTCACTAATGGCTATGGACAGACAGACAGACAGACAATAGCATGGCAGGGGCTCTGAGGAGAGTTTAGGCCCACCAGACAAACAGTATGATGCAGGTTCTGATGAGAGGAAATCAGGGCCCACAAAGAGAGAGACAGAGACAGAGAGACAGAGGAGAGAAGAGAGAGTTACACCTTTCTGAGAATGAGAGTAGTTTTATTTCAAAAGCTTGCAATCAAGTTCTCTGATGCTCAGGCAAAAGGCAGGGCAATGGGTAGAGAGTGAGACCTGTGTCCACCAACTCTCACTTTTATGCAAACTCACTTCCCCAGGAGAAAACCCCTGGGACCTGGAGTCTATTAGCCTGGAGATTGTGAGACAAAGTTTCAATAGGGCACCTTGCTTCCTGAGAGTGGAAAGGCTCCTGTAGCTGTTCTAACGTTACATTCTTACACTAGGGATAAACTAATGCTTACATAAATACTTCAACAGGAAATAAAAATCCCACCTTTTATTAGCTGGAAGTCTATATGGTTCTAGATTTTACATTTTTGGCCAATTCCAAACCAAATCCCAGTAAGCTGGACTGTGGTTCGTTTGAATGGCAAATATTTACTGGTTTCTAATGTTTAAGCCGCCATTGTGGACAGGAAAACTCCTGGGAAGTCTCACTTCTGTTACTGTCACTCCTGTTACACAGATGAGACACGGGAATGTAGAGAGTTAACACAAGTCATACGGTCAGTAAACGCCACCACCTGGCTCTGTCTGGGCACACAGGCACCTGAGTCAGCCCTGTGTCTCCTCACAGACTTCACCTTAGCTGCTGGAACCCATCTGTCGGGCGCCTTGGTTTCTGGAACCCATCTGTCGGGCGCCTTAGCTGCTGGAACCCATCTGTTGAGCTCCTTAGCTGCTGGAACCCATCTGTTGAGCTCCTTAGCTGCTGGAACCCATCTCTTGGGCGCCTTAGTTTCTGGAACCCATCTGTTGGGCTCCTTAGCTGCTGGAACCCATCTGTTGGGCTCTCCAACTTCAAAGATTATGCTGGCATATACCTCCCACTTATCTATTTAAAAAGCCATACATTTAAAACTCTGATAACTAGTCTAATTTAAAGTATTTATCAGAACATCTCAAAGAACACCATGATATTTTTAACCTCTTCATCTGAGAACTGGAGAAAGAAGAATAAGTCTCTCTCTAGCTATGTATCTCAAGTTTCTTGAGCTGTCCTTAAGTCAGAGAGAAGCTGGTAATCTTCATTTGCCTTTAAAGTACTTCAGGAAGATATCTGTTCACTTTACTGAAACTGTCTGCAAAGATGAAGCTACTCTAAAAGAAAGGAAACAATCTTTCCAAATGTATTTCCATGCTCTCAATGTCTCCTAGGTCTGTGAGTTTCAACATTGCCCAGGGAGAAGCTCTTTACCTGGCCCCTGTGGCAAAAAATGAACCACACTCTTGCAACTCTCTTAATGCATTCTGTGCTCTCTCCTTAAAGAAAACTTTTGACTTATTTTTATAAAAAACTAATGCTGACCTTTAAAAAATTTTTAGAGTATCCCATTTGGTATGAAGTCTGCTGTTGAAAGAGGCTTGTCTGCTGTTTTCCATACATTCAGCCGTAAAACCTCAAGCTCAACAATCAATGTTTCTGATGAAGCAGGCTATGCCATTTTCCACCACGCTGCCCTGCACAACCGGGTCTCTATCATCTGTCAGCTGTGTAACGCCAACTTCAATGTTAACCAGAGACGCTTCATCATGTTCAGCCAAGGTACCATTCAGTTTTTAAACTTTGTTCAGTACCGAATGGGTCTAGTTAATATAAAGCAGAATTGGATGATTTAAATATAGTGAGTAACCAGTTTTCCTTTAAGCACTTTTTAATGTGGAAAGAATCTTTGGCAATTAAAAATCTTCCATTCATCCTTGTCTTCTCAGATTTCCACTTGCTAATAAATAGGTAAGCTTCACAATATGAATAAGTAATGTTATTTACAGTAACAATGCCAGCAATGTTACTGCTAAATCAACGTATTAGCCTAGCTGCAAGTTTTGGTTAGGTCTTGAAAGGGTTGCCAGGTGTGCTCTGACTTGGTGTTGGGTACATGCAACATGCTTACATGTCTCTGTCAGAAATTGTACTCCACATTGTCTGATGCCATACTGCTCTCTGTATCAACACGCTGTCATTTTGTTCTTTCTGACTAATTTAGGAAACTGCTGTATATTGGTAACCATGTTTCTGTGTGGATTTTCTTTTTAAACAGAGTCATCCAAAGGGGACATGAAAAAAGAAAGAAATGGTAAGGCTGAAGTGAAATATGTGTATATTTTAAAAGATTGTTACATATGTTAAAACTTTTTTGCTGCGTGTGGTGACACAAACCTGTAATCCCCGCATGTGAGAGACTGAAGCAGGAAAAGAGGGCTAAAGTCATCCTCTGTTATCTGAATGAGTTCAAGACCAGCTGGGGCTGCATGAAAATAAACAATCAAAAAAAGAAGCTTTTTATAGTATCCAATCTACAAATATTTCCTTGCATGAAAATGTAAAATAATGATGTTTCACATTCAATTTGAAGTTTAATTTTTCTGCCCATGGTTACGGATATTCATGTTAGGTGTTCCTTTTTATAATATTTAATTGGGGATTTGCTGTGATCTCCACTTGTTTTATAAATTCAGTTTCCAAAGTCGTTTGGCAGGTGGTCCATAATCGGCTACAAGCTGGGAATGGTGTATGGTGCCTGTGTGCAGGGCCCCAGCTTCAATCTGCACACCCTAGTCACACAAACAAGTTTATAATTGAGACGTTCTGCCACCTAGTGGCCATAATCATATATGGGTTCTAAGGAATGATTACTTTTTGTTGAGGTCAAAGTTTTGAGATAAGCATTAGACATTAAAAAAAAAAACTTTATGTTTATACCTTTCTACACATTTGAGATACTAGCCACATAACTTTAGAGTATACATAAGGTAATTTAAGGAAAGTTCTTTCACTTAAAAAAAAAAAAAGCAATATCCTACTTTAAAAAGCCCAAATTGGTAAAGGCAGAGAGGGACTAGATACTTGAACTGGCTGCCTTATTGTGGTGGAGGAACATTGTATACACACACACACACATACACACACACACACACACACACACACACACACACACACACACACACGTAAAATAAAATTTAAAGCACCACCAGAGCAGGAAGGAGGCATGTAACTGAAAGTTTTCCTGTGTCCCGCCCAGTCCGCAGCTGCTCAGACCCAAATAAACACACAGAGGCTTACATTATCTTTAAACTATATGGCCTAATGGCTCAGGCTTCTCGCTAGATAGCTCTTACATCTTAAATTAACCCATTTCTACAAATCTATACTCTGCCACGTGGCTTGTGGCTTACTGGTACTTTACATCTTGCTTCTCCTGGTGGCAGCTAGCAGTGTCTCCTCTGTTCTGCCTTTCTCCTTCCTCTCTCTCTAGTTAGAATGCCCCGCCTAACCTTATTCTGCATCACCATTGGCTAAACAGCTTTATTTATCAACCAATCTGAGCAACACATGTTCACAGAATACAGAACAACATCACCCATCAGAGGCAGCTGGAAGCTTCTGATTGAATGACATTTAATGAAACAGTACTTCATTGGAAATTGTTGAATTAAGTGTAAAATTATAGCTTGCTTTATCATGACTATTTTATGTATTTACTTAGTTTTTTAAAACGTGTAGTAAGATACAGTGTCACACACCTGGAATCACAGCATCAGCATCGGGGACTGAGGCCAAAGGATTTCAAATTTGAGGCTATCCTGAGCTATAGTGGGCCCCAGACCAACCTGAACTATGCAGCAAGACCCTCAAAAAGTAGATGCATATTTTCCTTGCTCATTAAAAGGTATGATTCCTTTAGCTATTTCAAGTTAAGCAAAGAAATATAAGGTTTCCCAAATAATTGTTTTAGTTCTTATTTTGGAGGATTTATATATTATATAACACGAAGCTGTGTGCTTATTTATTCTTTATTTATTTTAAGAGTGCTAGCTCTGACTACTGAGGCAATTGTTACTCTTCTCAGGTCCAACCCCTCTACACCTGGCCGCACAAGCCTGTTCACTGGAGGCAACCGTCTGCCTCCTCTGTTTCAAAGCCGATCACACACTTACTGAGAAAAGGGGCTGGATGCCGATCCACTTCGCCGCCTTCTATGATAACATCTGCATCATCATTGCACTCTGCAGGAAGGATCCCAGTTTGCTAGAGGCTGAGGCAACAGCTGAGTGAGTTACTGAGCATCTGTAAAATTATATACAAACTTCTACTTTCCTGACTACCACCAGGCGTAATTGGCACGGGGACTTGCAAGGTAGCAAAGCACTGATGTTTTCTCTGGTCTTCATCTTCTTCTCTTCTGGCTTAACCTTAGAATTTGTGAAGACCAGAGCTTTCATCTGCCTGTATGTGTTTCCTAGAGGAGTAAAGAGTAAGTTCTGGGGATTTCTTTAACTGCTGTATCAATAATACAGCTTCCCAGATCGGTTTATTAGGCTAACCACGTGACTAAGGAAGAGCGTGTTGCTCTTGTCTCCTGTATAATCAGCAGGTAGCCCTCTGTCTCCAGATCAAAGTAGACAGAACCATATCACAGCAGAAATAACTACTTGTATCTAGAGGAGGACTGTAGCATGAATCCTAAAAGGTCTTATTAATAAAATCAAACCCAGAGCCAGGTATTGGGGTGAATGCTGGAAGATCAGAGAAGCAGAACAAGCCACAGCCACCTCGCCTTGCCAGTTCCTCAGCTGATCCTGTTTCCTCAGACTGGAAGCCTCTGTGTTCTTATCCAAATGGATCTCAGCTGAACTGCTTCTCGAAAGTCTGAAAGCTTAACCAGCTCTAGTTCCTGCTTCCTGCCATCACTTCCTGGGATTAAAGGCTCTAGTTACCATGCCTGGCTGTTTCCAGTGTGGCCTTGAACTCACAGAGATTCAGGCGGATCTCTGCCTCTGGAATGCTAGGATTAAAGGCGTGTGTGCCACCATTTTCTGGCCTCTGTATCTAGTGGCTGTTCTGTTTTCTGACCCCAGATAAGTTTATTAGGGTGCACAATATTTTGGGGAACACAATACCACCACAGAGGACAGCAGCAAAAAGAAGAAAAGTTGGAAGCAGGAAACATCGCCAAAGTTTCCTGTTTCATAATTAGGGTGAACATTCTTCTTTAGGCTTGTCCAGGAATCTAAAGACCAGGTGATCATTTTGACTCTCTGAACCTGTTGTATGGATACTGTGGTCTAAGTCTCCAAATGTCCTGTCCCTTATTTACATACTGGCTTGGCGGTTTGAAGGACACTTATTGCTCCTTAACTCATGGCTTCCCCACCATACCGTGAAATGGCAGCAGCTCCCATGCCCATTATCATACCTGCATAATGGATGGAGCAGCAAGACAGAGACGAAGCAACAGACACACCCTCCTCTTCACCTCTGCCCATGCAGCTCCCACTACCATCCTGTAGACATGCTTGTTTGCACGTCACCTACCTACCTCTGAGGGGAGATGGGAGATGAAACCCAAAGATCTTCATTGTCTAAAGCAATACACAGTCAGCTTTCAGTGAGGAAACTGGGATTTGGAATTGGACATAAAACATAAAAAATGTGTTTGGTGACTACCAAGCCTATGCGGTATTTGTAAAGTGGGTTGATAATACCTGATTATGTGTCCACCAATTTATGAAGCTTCTGGAAAGATTAGATAGGCAGTGTATTTTAATTATGTTGTGTAGTACCAACTTCCAAATACATTATAAATCATAATAATTGAGAAAGAGGACAGGGATGACTAATGAGGAGAGGGAGGCAGGGAGGCACATCTGTGGAATATAGAGAATGAGGTGCTGAAGGAAGACAAGGTGATGGTATGAATTAGAGTTCCTTTAGCAGCAGAAGTAAATGTGGTGCTGTATGTGTGCACAATCCTGTTACGATGTGTTCTTGACTCTTAGGAATCAGTGTACCCCACTATTGCTCGCTGCTACTTCAGGAGCACTGGACACTATTCAGTACCTTTTCTCTCTTGGTGCCAACTGGAGAAAAACAGATGCGAAAGGAAACAATATCATTCACTTGTCAGTGCTCACTTTTCATACAGAGGTACTCAAGTATATCATAGAATTGAATATCCCTGAACTTCCAGTTTGGAAAACTTTGGTAGGTGAGTACAGAACATATGATTTCATCATAAACATTCTGATTATTCTATAATATGATCATTGGAATGCTGACATGGAACAAATAAAATAAAATATGCATATTCAAAAAATTAAAGATCATGCAATAAAAATTATGTATTAAAACCAACAATAGTTCAGTTGATAAGGGGAACTATCTTTTGGTGTATAAAAGTAGTTTGATTTCTAACTTAAAATCAGAGATCTGTGACCCAAATGAGCTATATCTTACACAATGATATTTATTTTCCAACTTTCTTAGAAGTCAGAAAATCATTTTCTCCGTTAATATGCAAAAATATTCCATAATAAACCGAATTCAGAAAGAACGGAGGATACAACGCTTAAGCATCAAAGGTCCTCCACTCTGTTCCTTACTCCTCATCCTAAAGCAGCTTTAGAAAATCCTCCTGCACATTTAGAAGAATGTTTTATGCAAAATTTTGTGTTCAATCTAGTCAGAAAAACAAGGGTAAGGGTTACTCAGTCAATTGAAGATGTGTATCAAAATTCACTTCCTCCTCAATCCCCGTTACAATGACATGAAAAGTAAACACAACAGCAGTAGCAGTCAAGGTTCAAGAGAAAACGGAGGGCAGTGATAAACAAGATGGAACCAAGCAGGCACCTCCGAGGCTGAGCCTCCCAGAGAATCCCAAGCCCACGTCAGGAAAGCCGAGAACCTCTCAAACTCAGACCTCATAGTCCTCACAAAGCTGGAGAGCAGGTAGTGCCAGGGGGCTCCCCAGGGCCCAGTCGGAAAGGCCAGCAGGTGCTGAGGCTGCCTTCTCCTTGGAGAGAAAGGCACCAGAATTTCCAGGACCACAGCCAAGGCATGTTCCAGAGTGGAGCTATGGGCACGGCCTTAAGAAAAGGCAGAGCTATGAAAGTGCCATTGAATCAGTGAAAACTGAGAAGGTGGATCTCAAATAGGGAAAATAACAGTGAGAAGTGAGACAACACCATGGGTCACTACAATGTCACTAGATGAGAGTGATATTTGTCTAGACAGTGTTAAGTATTGATTCGAGTAGCAGCCAGAAATGTGAGGAAAGGGAGCAGCATGAGCTGGTTCCCCATTCTCATAACATGAGGCCATAAACAAAGCCCAAGGCTGGAAGATGAATCTTAAAAGGTCTTATTAATAAAAAACCCAGAGCCAGATATTGGGGTGAAAACTGAGAGGTCAGAGAAATAGAACAAGCCCCAGCCAACCTCACCTTACTAACTCCTCAGCCTCCAAAGGGAGCTACTTCCTGTATACCCATGCCTATATCCTTTCTGTGCCCTGCCATCTCACCTCCTCTCTCCGCCCAGCTACATCACTTCCTCTTTCCACCCAGCTCTCTCACTTCTTGTCTGTCTGTACAGACCTCCAGACCTCTATGGTTAACTAGCACTGGGATTAAAGGTGTGGGCCACCATGCCTGGCTCTGTTCCCAGTGTGGCCTTGAACTCACAAAGATCTGGATGAATTTCCGCCTCCCGAATGCTAGTATTAAAGGCATGTGCTACCATTGCTGACCTCTATATTTAATATAGTGGCTGGCTTTTTCCTCTGATCCCCAGATAAGCTTTATTGGAGTGCACAAATAAAATATCACCACACAAGGCCAAGGTAGCAAGATGTAGCGGTGTCTCAGAATACTGATTTCTAGAGAAGTGAACCCAAAGCAATGGAGGGAGTGGATGCAAAACTACGATATTTTGCTGTAGGTACTTTTTGCTTATAACTTGGAATCATGAACAAAAAATAAAAATTAAAGCAAAAAGAAAAGAGATAGAGAATGAGAACTAATGTTTTCTCGATGGAGTAAGACACAGTTAATATTCCAACCTGATTCTAGTGGTTTAAGATGTTTGATTCTTCGGGCTTGGGAGTTGGCTCAGTAAAGCACCTGCTGTGCAAGCATGAGGACCTGAATCCAGATGCTGAGCGCACACACAACCCTGGGCATGGCAGCCTCTGTGTAATCCTAGCACTCAGGTTTACAAAATTGTTTGAGAATTTTCTCCAGCTTTGTGCTTAATATAGATAGAACTACACAGATAGAGGTATTAGATCAGTTTAATGTACACATGGAAATTGATTCATTCCCAAGATCCCACAAAAACTGCATGAAGATTAAATAATAAGAGCGGCAGACAAACTCGGGGAAAGCAAGGACATGACAGCAATAAAAACGGGAGACGGGCCAGTCCCTGGAGCTCACCGGCCAGCCAGTCCAGCCAATTGATGAGCTCCTAGTTCAGTGCGAAACTCTGTCTCAAAAATTTAGGTAGAAAAGAAATAGTGAAGGGCACCCAAAGTCGACCTCCGTACTCCCAACCCCAATACAAATGTACATTCATGCACACACAAAAATCACACGTTCACACAAACACCAATAAACATACACACATACAAAATGCACATGAGTGCACACACAAAAAAACACATATTCACACACACACACACACTTTGAAAAAATGATATCCAGCTATTTGTTCAAAACGGTCTCAGTATCAATCTTGGCATTTGTTAAGTAGTGAGGACATTTCCTGAGTACATCAACCCAAGGAGCTGCTGGGAAATGTCTTGGTGTTTATTTTTATGCACATATGTCCTCACATCTTAATATTTTAAAAAAGTAACTGTGAGGATCAACTTTACTTATAACAGACATCCGTTATAAATACCTTCAAGTCTTGACAAGAATGACTTAATGGTGCAGCTCACTTGCAGGGGTCACTACTTGCAGTATCCATAGTTAGAAAGTCCCCATAATTACAAGATAATGACACCAGCAGAATAATAAACAGTAAGCATGTTGCTTCTTGCTTTGCCTCAAGCCCTAAAAATAGCTCTCTCTCCTTATACTGCCCATTTCCACCATGAGTAAAATGCATCTAATTAGAAGCAGGCTAATTAGCCTTTGGAGTATAAGCTGACATTTAAAACAGAGCAGTCTAGGCAAGAGCTGGGACATCTCTGAAAAGAAGCAGGCCAGAGAACGAGATGAAGTAAGGATACAGCTCCGTGCTTTTTCACGCCAAGACACTGTTTAGAAGCATACACAATGTTTCATTCTTTGTTTCGAGTTCAAATTTATGCTCAATTTTTAAGAATCATATTAATCATTTTCAGGAAATGTGCAAAGCACCATATCTAATTTAATGGCTGTTAAAATTTCATTGATTATGTAGTATACTTTGCCATCCTTAAAATCTCCTACTCAAATTTTATTCAAAATTAATGGTAGGTGCATGAGAAATGTATTATTTTTCTAGTGAATTTGAACTATATTTCTAGGCAATGATAGTCATTCAGACCAAAGAAATAATTTAAAATTTTTTTCAGTAACTATCTATACTATAAACCTTAGAGATCTTGGGCATATTGTGTTCATTTCTGTTACTGTCACAAATGCCCAAGATAATCAACTTCTGTAGAGAGCATTTACCTGTGAGCACTCACAGGATTAGCTGTGATGAAGTAATAACGTGTTATGGGAGCCAGTGGCAGAGGCCCATGGCCTATTTGCCTCATGGGAGGTATAGAAAAACAGAGAAACGGAATCCCACAATCCCCTTCAAGGATACTTTGCCCAGTGATCTACAACTTCCCAGTAAGTTCCACCTCTTAAAGTTCCCATCACCTTCCAATAGCACCAAGCCAGTGACTAAACCATGAAGATGGGCCTTTGAGGACCACTCCATATCCAAGCTAGTCCATGATAATCTATCCAGCACCTCAGAGAACCACAAACAGAGGGGATTTAGCACATGCAGCTGGTGAGGGGATGATCTCAACTCTTCTGTCCACTTTACCTATATGAAAACAAAATCGGTCATTCCATTGCCTCTGCTGTGAATTACAGTTGTGTTTTTCTGTTGAATACTTTTCAGAAATGTTGCAGTGTGAAAGCTTCAAGCGAAGGATGATGGCTGTCATGTCCTTAGAAGTAGTTTGCTTAGCAAATGATCAATACTGGAAATGTATTTTGGATGCAGGTGATACAAAATACATTAACTATCTTTTTCTTGTCATGTTTTAAGTAGAGCTATATTATATTCAGGTCAATAATTTTAGTATATTATATATAGTATATAATACACAAATATTAACATAGACATACATATTTAATGCAAAGCACATACTATACCACTAAACTAATACATACATACATACATGCATACATATATATATATTAAAAAAACGTGTGTGTGTGTGTGCTCATGCACATGCATGTGTTTTTCAAGACAAGGTCACACATACAACCCAGGCTGGCTTTGAACTTGTAATCCTCTTGCCTCAACCTTTTTTTAAATTAAAAATTTATACATTTGATCATGTTTTTCTCTTCCTTAACTCTTCCCAGGTCCTCCCCACTTCCCTGCCACCCCAACTTCATGTTTTTGCTCTCTCTGTAAACAAACAAATAAACAAAACAAAAAACCAAGAAACAAAAACAAATCAAGAAATGAAACTAAGTCAAAACAAACAGGAAAAAATCTGATAAGACAAAAATCTCAGAACAAAAGAAAACAAAACAAAAACTCCACAGAAATTCCAGAGGGTTCTTTTTGTGTTGACCAGCTATTCCCGGTTCTGATATACCTAGAAATATTCCACTGGAGAAACTGATTTTTTCCCTTTGCCAGTGGGTGTCAATGTAGACGGCCTCTTGCCTAGGGATGACTGGTTCCTACCATCTTTCCACTTCTCTTCTGTATAGAGCCCCGAGCCTTTGGGGAGGGGCTTGATGAAGACATCCCTTTTAGGACTGAGTGCTCTAAAGTCTCTCACTCTCTACGCACTGTCCAGTTGTGGGCCTCTGTGTCAATTCTCATCTACCTTGAGAAGCTTTTTGATGAGGGTTGAGTGAGGCACTGATCTATGAGTAAAGCAGAACGTCATTAGGAGTCATTTTATTGTTAAGTTGTTTTAGCAGAAGAATAATGGTAGGTTTCCCCTAAGGCCCATGACCTGTCTAGTCTCAGGGTCTTGGCCACTTTGGCAGTGTCAATTGTGAGTTCCATTGCCTTATAGCTTTTGAGTGCTAGGTTTACAAGTGTGTGCAATCCAAATTTACTTCAAAATATGTTTTTAACTATCACAGACACTTTTAGTTGATTTTAAGTTTCTTTTTTCTTTTCTCTAAGACCACTTTTGTCAACTTTATATTTTATTTTCATGTAAAAGTTGCACATGGTCAAAAAAACTATGTATATTTTAGAGGACATCTATTTCTCTAAAAACTTGAAATTTTAAGAAGTAATAAAAAGAACTTTAGTATACTAGCTGTTCTAGTATAGTATCTAGCTGTTCTAGTTTAATATTGTTATGATAAACTACCCTGACCAAAAACAATACAGGGGAGGAAGTGTTCATTTCCGCTTGGAATTCCAAGTTACAATCTATCATTACAGGGAAGTAGAGGATGTGAGAACCTGAATCAACTAGTCACATATATCCACAGTTAAGAGCAGGGAGAAATGAATGCATGCATGCTTGCCTCCTTGTGCTCAGCCCTTTTTCTAAACTTACAGTCTAGGATCCCCTGCCTAGGTCATGGTGTCACCCACATGATGTCATTCTCACATCAATTAACATTAGCAATCCAAACCATCCTCCACATATATGCTCAGAGGTCAACCTTATCTATATTAGTCCTCCACTGAGACTCTCTTCTTGCATGATTCTAGATTATGTCAAGGTGATAGTTAAGTGTAACCATCACAGTACTTTCATTTATAATTTATTCCAGTTCTACACTTGCACAATTTATTTTTTAAATTGAAAACTAGAAGAACATGGCAGACCAGGTTTGTAAGTAGTTCTGCATTTAGAAATTACATCATGGTTTCTCTGGCCTAGTTTCTTCACTAATCAAATGGGTCAACACCATGGACTTATTCTGAGAGCAGCACTGTCCACCATAACTTTCTGAAATGATGGGAATGTCTGAACTGTCTGTATGGTACCTACTTCCCTAGTGTGCATATTGAGGCATGCATTTTCCATGAATATTGATGAATGAACAAGCTTAATTTTATTTAACTCATTAAAAGCATGTTTGGAAAAGCTCAATGTCCCCAAAAAGTCAACAATAGATAGTTTCATTTCAGGTAGATAAATAAACTAGCCTCAGTTATACTCATATTTTTCAGAACTTTGTGTGTCTTCTATGGTGTGGTTTCTTCTCAACTAAACTGATACAAACCCAGCAAGCATTCAACTAAAGCCAAGTTTTCTATTTTTTACCATGCCCAATGACTGACTATAATAAATAAGGCTACTGTTATATTTGACTAGATCAGTACTTTTTTCACTTTTTGGTTTAAGATAATGTGTGATAACATATTCAAATAGTTAAACAGTTACCGCCACACCAAGGTAAGTCGGTACCCACAGCAGAACTTTACCATGTGATACCTCAAAGCCTTTATCAGCTAGGCATGACGATGCACACCTTAACCCCAGCACTTGGGAAGCCAAGACAGGAAGAACTGCACAGTGGGTTTCTGTGTAGCTGGAGTTTTCCTGTGTCCTGCCCAGTCCACAGCTGCTCAGACCCAAGTAAACACACAGAGGCTTATATTAATTAAAACTGCTCAGCCATTAGTTCAGGCCTACCACTGACTAGCTCTTACATTTAAACTCAGCCCATTTCTGTTCATCTCTATGTCACCACATGTTCCGTGGCTTTACCTGTGTGTCATTACATGCTGCTCCCTGGACAGGGGGGTTGGCATCTCCTGACTCATTCTTCCTCTTCCCAGAATTTTCCTTGTCTGCTTATCCCACCCATACTTCCTGCCTAGCTACTAGCCAATCAGCATTTTATTTATCAACCCATCAGAACAACACATTCACAGCATACAGAGCAACATCACCTGTCGTTTCTGTCTACATAACAAATTATCAACTCTATAGGACAAAAATCAGTATTTTAAAGATGGCTTGAATTTACTAATATAGTGTATGATCATGTGCTGTATGAAATTAAATATGCAAACAGCAAAAGCCACTATCTTGTAATAAGACAAAATTATTTCCATATCACTTCAAGTTATTATTCTGTATTTTGTAGAACTATCTGCAATTACTTATATTGCCATACCATGAACATTATTTCAATATTGTTAGGATAAATTGACTATAATTGACTTTGAAAAACTAATGCTCATCTCATCCTTATCTTTACAGGCACCATTCCTGCTTTAATCAATCTGTTAAAATGTCCCAAAATAAAACTGCAGTGTAAAACTGTTGGGTTACTGAGTAATATCTCAACCCATGTAAGTGTAGTACATGCTTTGGTGGAGGCAGGAGGCATCCCTGCTTTGATCAACCTGCTGGCTTCTGATGAGCCCGAACTACATTCCCGCTGTGCTGTCATTCTGTACGATATTGCTAAGTGTGAAAACAAGGATGTTATCTCCAAATATGTGAGTTACTGTTTTATAAAACATCATTTCGACTTGCCAGGGACCAGCCTCAGCAGTTTCGGGGTCTGAAGGATGGAAAACCTGGAAGGCACAGTAACGACTCAGAGACAATGTTTGTGCAAGCTGACAGGTCACTTCAGGCTTCTGCAGTTGCTAAGTTTCTTTTTCTTCCCTGGCTTCTCTTGGCTTCTCTTAGCTTCTCTTAGTTTCTCTAACTTCTCTTAGCTCCTCTTAGTTTCTCTTAGCATCTCTAACTTCTCTTGCCTTAGCTTCTGCTTTTGCCCTGGTGACCTCAGTCTTTTATTATCAAAAGAAAAGGGGGAACAGAAAAAAAAAAGGGAAATCACCCAATACAAAATGTTCTCATAATTCCAAAGATTATTCTTAGAAAATCACCAGTATATTCTTCATCATCTTTTACTAAACACAGGAACCATCCCAGACTTAACACCAAAGCAAGCATAATCTATTTTTATTATTAATGATTATACAATCTTTTGAGCACTTGACCCAAAGGCTAGCAATATGCAATTTCACAAAAAAGGTAAAAATAGGAACAGTGGTCAATATACCAGACAGTCACTTCCTTCTCAGACAGTCTGCTCCAACCTCAAGACCCCTGTAGCCACCTAAGTTCCTCCTCAGCCCTCTGCAAGCACTAAGACCCATGACTGGTGGGCTACAATGACCTCAGACAAGAAATCTGTCCCTGCAAGTCAGCAACTTCTGTCCTTCTATATCCAACAATTCCAAGGAAGACCTGATCCAATTTTCAGAGCTTCCATGAAAGGAAGCTCACCTTTCTTGGCAGCTCTTCAATCTAGGAACCCAATAAAGCTTGTAGCAATCACCCCATCAATTGTCACATTATCTCCACATTCCTTCAGAAGGAATAAAAAGTATCTGAATTAAAGTTGCCATCTCCCTTTCTTGGTGGAGGCCACTATTCTCCTCCTATTCTAGGTTCCCACACATTTAGTTTGTCATCCCATCTATATGTTACTCCATCCATAGTCTTTAGCCAATACCCCTTAGGGTCTCAAGTTTTACACAATGTCCTTGGAATATCCTCAGAAACTGAATTATTCATTGTGGCCAATTTAAGTCCAGTGTGTTGATACACGTCATACCATGTGGTATAGTTGACCACACATTTGGTACAGTTTATCCAAGCCTAAAAACTTCTCCAGGCTGCAGGTTCTTTTCCATGAACTACATAGCTGCCTTAACCCCAGCCTGGGTGATCATCTCTGTATAATTTCCTGTGAAATTTACTTCACTCCTTTCCTGCATCACAGAAATCACCATTGATCTAGGAACACAGAACATGAAGATCAGATAGAAGAAAAAGACTAGTATTACAAGAAATATTTATATGGAGGAGGACATGACATGTGTGCACGTATAAAGCATGACATTGGGACACGTAGGCATTTCTGCCTTGGCCCTCTAGAGGCATGCTAAGCAGAAGATCCGGAGGGGAACAAGTGGAGGGTTGATGGTCCACAATCTCAGGTCCCTTTTTCTCCAATCTCTGCTGGCAGCACATCAGCCATCTTATATGCTGTCCCCAGCATCGACTGGCAGCCATTCCTTCACATAGAAACTGGAGATCTGTGTTGTTATAGAGTAACAAACTCTTAGGCATGATCAGCTATAGGAAAGGGAGTGTTTAAGAAAAACACTTCAGCAAGCAGCAGGCATGTAGGAGGTCTGTAGCCCAACTGGCCCAAGGGGCCTAATGCTCATCACTGACAAGAGTTCAGATATGAGTAGCCCCGGAGAGAAGATGGAGCATTTTTCATAATATATGCTGATTGTTTCATGTTTCTACGAAGATACTAGTTCTGTCTGAGAAATATATCCTAATTATGTACCAGAAAGAATTACAAGAAAATTGCTTTTGCTGAACACCAAGCAATTGTTACTACACTTTATTTCCTCAAAAACAAACCAAAACTAAAACTAAAAAATCCTACCCTATTGTGTCCACTAATGTTTTAAGATCTTTCTGTAAATGTTTACAAATGAAGTGAAGTTACTTGATATGAGTTTCTTCAGTTTGATATAGTTGTTTCTTCAATATGAATTGAACCATCTGCATTATAAAATGTACCTTCCTATAGGGCTTCATGCTTTTTACCTTGGGTTCCTTGTGGTGGAAAACCATGTATGTTTATTCTCTGTTCTCTTTGTGCTCTTCTGCGTAATTTGCCTTTGTACATTTTTTAAAACTTCTCTAAAAAACTTTAATTGCTGTGTCTAGTATCAATCCTTTAGAAAATATATTGGAAATATAGTTATATCCAAGTCCAATTTCAGTTACTTAGTTTTATCCTATTTAAAATCTCATGTTAATTGGTTCTGGCAATTAGCCAGAACTAGGGTAAAATTCCTCTATCTATGTAGTATATTTAGGCTGTGCTATGCCATTCCATTTTATTGGGTCAGAAAATGAATGTTTGTGTGTTTATCTTAGTTCTGCAATAATATTGTATTTTTCTGGATAAGAGTTACTCAGTTGTCTTAACTTTCTGTGTGACACCACTAGATGCTTCTGTTTACACACAGATGTCCTCTACTAAATAAGAATGTTTGCAGGAAGATTTCAGACTTTTAAACAAAATTGCATCCATCTTAAATGAACTCACATCCCTTTTTGTTTCTTTTTAGAATGGAATCCCGGCTCTGATAAATCTCCTGAGCCTGAACATAGAAAGCGTGCTGGTGAACGTAATGAACTGTATCCGGGTGCTATGTATCGGAAATGAAAGCAACCAGAGAGCCATGAGGGACCACAACGGTATCCAGTACCTCATCCGGTTTCTGAGTTCTGATTCTGGTGAGCCTCAGCTTGTCTGTTTAAGAGTGACCAGATTTACCAAATGAAGCAAACATGACCTGGATTTGTCTGTGAACAAATATCTTGGATTTATCTTTGAATGGATCCTTGCACACAATATAACCCAAATATCTTGAAAACTTAAAACTGCCAAGTTCATAGAAATAATTGACTCCCCAAAGTATATTAAAATGTTTAACCAGACATTTGCATAAATAAAATATAAGCAGGAATAATGAAAATAGAGCAAATACTATGTTTAGGGAGGACATTTCTTCTTGTATAAATTAATATTTATTTTGATCATTGGAAGCTATTTTACAATGTACATCAAGAACTTCAGACTTGCTCTTATATATCTGATATCAAAATTCAAGGCAATCATCAGGCATTAAGCCTTCTAAAGTGCACCACAGTCCCAGGATCCCCAGGAAGTATCAGCCAGCTTCTACAACAGCTGCAAAGGGTCACCTGCATTTCAAAACAACAACGCCATCCCAGTGAGCTTACATAGCAGTATGAATAACAACAATGCCATCCCAGTGAGCATACACAGCAGTATGAATAACAACAACGCCATCCCAGTGCACTTACATAGCAGTATGAACATGACATTTTAAGGATAAAAGCATGGGTACAGATGTGTCCCTTTTTGTTCCTGCTTAATTTGTCATCTGTCCTTCTGCCCAAGTTCATCATATGTAAGTATAGAATAAACATGAAATAAAAACATTGGTTAAAAGACAAGCCAAGGATAAGGGTCATGCTGCAGAGAGCTTGCATTAGTTTAGAATTTCAACTTCAGCAAGTATCCTTTTCTAAGAATCAGTACCATGTAGTAAAGACACTCACAGCTTCCCTCCCAACCCTTGAGTTTTCCAAGTTTTTCTGCACCACTCACTGTGCTGTCCTTGTGGAGCGGCACAGAGGGGCAGTTCTATGCACAGTTCAACTGCATCAATTTTATTTATAAGTCTTCATCTTACTTTGTTTGTACCATTAATTAAAACTTCCCTGACTGTTCTAGATATTATAAAAAGCAGTAATTATAACAATAACTTAAGTAAATGAGTTCACAAAAAGTAATAGGAATAAATATTTAAAATAATTCCTTTTTGGATCTAACACCTACTAAAAGCATTGTTTTCCTACACTGGAATCTATATTATTCTCTTACTTTAAGGAGTAAGAAGAATTTAAATTTAAAATTTTAATTATTTTTTTCTCTGTGTGTAAATTTTACATATAACTTCAGCATTTTAACAACTAATTCTCTTTGCCATGGACTGGGTTGCTCAGTCATAGAGTATTAAGAAAATAGCATCAAAGTTCGTTTGTGGTCTTTATATGTTTACTTTACTTTTTTAAGAAGAAAAGGTTGATTTGGCAAACTAATGTTTAAGATTGTTTCAGAGGAAAATTACAAATTTCTGCCCAACTTTGGTGGCAAATCTTGATGAAGACTTTATTATTATTATTGAGACAGTGTCTTACTGGGTAGACCAGGCTAGCCTAGAACTCACAGAGATCCAGCTGCCTCTGCCTCCTACGTGATGGAATTAAAGGCATGTCCAGCTTGTTTACACAATATTAAAGTGCAGGGTTTTGTTTTTTTATTAGAATCAAGGCAGTACTGGCAACTAAATAGTATAGCAACTAAACCGTGGAATCAAAATTAACAATCCTAATGAAAATAGATGAGCATCGTTTAACACTACATAAACTGTTATCAAAGAATATGATGTCACTTTTAAATGTTCTAGATGGAGGTCATATCTTGAATCATGAGAAACATTAAACCTGAACTGAGGTTTAAAATAAACAATTAATATTCACCTAAAAGGTTTAAATCACAAAGTTAAAGAAAGGCAAAAGAACTGTTGTAGACTATAGGCTGTATAGAGACATCACAAATAAAATGCATGCTCTCCATTTGGTTCTATACTGAGAGAGAAAAGAGTCATAGAGGACATTACAGAATAGCAGACATAATATGATTAAAGCATTGTTATCTACTGATTGTATTATCTATATGTCTACACAGAACCTCAAATGTGTGTGAGTCCCTGCTGGCATCACAGTGACAGCAAAATCATCCACAAAGAGGCAAGAAGGAAAACTTGGTTCAGCCCATCTTGGTCAGCCAGACTGGCTCAAACTTCAGGAGTCCGATGCCAGGCAGTATATTGCTAGCATTCTTAAACACAGTACAATTTGGGAAAAAAGTTTCCTGGTGTAATACAATCCCCGATGCACAGGAGGCATAATTACATTAAACTCAACTCAAAGTACATGTGATTTCTTCCAAGAAGATGGGTTCTAGAAATTATCTACCTGTACTAGGTTAGGAGCCTAAGTAAGGGTCTGGCCTGGTCTTCGTCATACAGATAATGTAGAGGTCATCTGGGTTATTCACCACCTCCAGTCCTGGTTGTGGGAACTTAGGAGTCTCTGGCTATACAGATAATGTAAGGGTCATTGTAGCAGGACTCTTAGAGAGTCTTATTAATAAAATCAAACCTGAGCCAGGTAATGGGGTGAATACTGGAAGGTCAGAGAGATAGAACAAGCCACAACTAACCTCACCTGGCCAACTTCTCGGCTGGTCTTGTTTCCTCAGACTGGAAGCCTCTGTGTCCTCATATCCGAATGGCTCTCAGCTGAACTGCTGCTCAAAACCTAAAAGCTTAACCAGCCAAATGCTTAACCAGCCAAATGCTTCTTGTTTCTGGTCTTCATGCCTTATATATCTTTCCTTTCTACCATCACTCCCTGGGATTAAAGGCTAGCTTTCAGGGATTAAAGGCGTGTGTCACCATGCCTGGCCATTTCCAATGTGGCCTTGAACTCACAGAGATCCCAGATGGATTTCTACCTCTGGAGTGCTAGGATTAAAGGTGTGAGTGCCACCATTTTCTAGCCTTTGTATCTAGTGGCTGTCTGTTCTCTGACCCCAGATAAATTGATTAGGGTACACAATATTTTGGGGAACACAATACCACCACAGGTCATTTGGACTACTAGCCACCTCTAGTCCCAGTTGTGGGAGCTTGATACACCCTGGCCCTACAGATAATGTAGATCACCAGGTAGTCAGGCACCTCCAATTCTCAGTCTTTTCCTTTGAAAGGACAATCCAGTGTGCTTAACATTCCTGGTTTCTGTGGTGATCTGTGGGTACAAGTTCCTTCATGCTCCCAACATAAATGTAGAAAACTAAATTGTAGCCTGGCATCGTGGTACACTCCTTTAGTCCCAGTAGGTAGGAGGCAGAGGCAGGTGGATCTTTGCGAGTTTGAGGACAGTTTGGCCTATATAGTGAGCTTCAAGCTAGCCAGGGCAGAATAACATAGATAGAGATAGATAGATAGATAGATAGATAGATAGATAGATAGATAGATAGATAGATAGGTAGGTAGATAGAGTGAAACTAAGTTGTAGCCAGATAAATATATAAAATCAATGTAGCAGTGTATTAAATTTACAAATGCAGGTGAAGTATATGCATTCTCTCATTCATTCTTTGAACCTTTCTGTAAATTATAACAAAATAAAATGAAATATCATTTTTGTCGATCAAGTTATCAAGTTTTATGTATTCATTTTGAATAATAATATTTATATTCAAGAAAAGAAAGTCAAATTGATATGCCTGAGCTCTGATTATGAAAGAATAAAATGCTACTGATTCATTTAGAAAGCAGTTTACTGAAATGTAAAGAATTATTCCAGTAATTTGCCATACTCAATCTAAAGGAAAAAAATGCATTAATATCTACATGCTAAGAAGATTTCTCCTGTAATTACTTAAAACAGCAAAAAGTTTGAAGCAACATATATTTTTAAAGTGTGAATAGCTAATAAAATGTGATATAACCATTGATGCAGTATTTAGAAGGCATTTGTGACTTTTATATTCATGAAAGTATGGAGAAAATATTTCAATGGTAAACAAATATTCTGGATATTATATTTGCAGTACGACTATATTGAATATGTCTATAATTACCTAAATATGCCCAAGTATCTGTATAAGAAGTAGTGGACAAAATAAAATCTAGATGGTGAATCTGGACAGTTTATTTTTTGTATTTTTGTTTTCTAAATTTTCTTTGAACTTATGAATTTAACTTTGTACTATGGGAAGCTATCCTGAAATGTGCTAAATTTACATTTTTGATGAGTGGTGTACTTACTCTTGACTCTTTTGAAGATGCGCTGAAGGCAGTGTCCTCAGCTACAATTGCTGAGGTCGGCCGTGACAATAAGGACGTGCAGGATGCTATAGCAATGCAAGGGGCTATTCCTCCCCTGGTGGCTCTTTTTAAAGGGAAGCAGCTCAGTGTCCAAGTGAAAGGTGCAATGGCTGTGGAATCCCTGGCGAATTACAATCCTTTCATCCAGAAGGCATTTCTGGAAAGAAAATTAACTAAAGATCTCCTGAAACTTCTAAAGGCAAGGATTTTATCATTACCCTTCCAATGGTTTAGATGATTTACTTCATTTTGAATTTTATTTGAAGATTTGAAAAAAATCAAACCAAATTCCAGAATGCATGCTTTATAAAAAATACAGATCCCTGATGTGTTAAAACACGTTCACTGAATGAATGGCATGTTTTTGTCTTAATAGGCCTTTCAAATAGATGTTAAGGAGCAAGGAGCCGTAGCACTTTGGGCTTTGGCAGGACAAACCCTGAAGCAACAGAAGTACATGGCAGAACAGATTGGCTACAACTTCATAATAAACATGCTTTTGTCTCCATCAGCTAAGATGCAGTATGTAGGTAAGGTGACTTCTATACAGACTGCTGGTGTAGATGCCGAAGTCCATACCCACCTCTTATTGTTCTTTACCAGGAGGTGAAGCGGTCATAGCTCTCAGCAAGGACAGCAGGATTCATCAAAACCAAATATGCGAAGGGAACGGCATCGCACCTCTGGTCCGCTTGCTGAGGATTAATAAGATAGCTGAAGGCACACTTCTGAGCGTCATCAGAGCAGTGGGGTCCATTTGTATTGGTTTGTACGAAGTCTCAATTTTCTAATTACGATGAGAAGAGTAAGAGTTGGGTAGAGAAGTAGAAAATTTGCTTCTTTGTCTTTATTCACACCATGAAAGACCTCAAAGATTTAGAAATGGTTTCTCCAAGGCCTTGGTGAGTTAAAGTGGTGACATTAAGAATGTCCCATCTGCCTTGCTCTTGAATTCTGAGTAGAATAGAAAATGAAGACAATGAACACTGACTATTTCAAATGAAAAAATCACATTTATTTTAAGAGAATTTTAAAATGTAGAGTCATAAATTTCTTAATGTTAACATTCAATTACATTTTTTTCAATTCTAGTTCATTGCTATAAATAAATAATTGTTTGCTTATAGAAAGTGGTCTTTGTTACAAAAGAATTGACTTTTTGGGTCTATGAAAAACTTGCAGAGGTTTTAGTGATTGACCTACCAGTAACATTTGGGTTCTATGCTGGAGGCTGTGGACTATGGCTTGCAAACAAGAGAAAAAGAGGCTTTCTGTGCATGTCTGTCTTTCCAGGTGACTGTATTTTCTCAAAAGTTCCCAGATACTGAAGTTAGTAGCTCCACTTTTATTTCCTGCTTATGAACAATACCTGCAGAAATTCATTAACTGTCCGAAGACATAAATAACCCAGAAAATAATGTGTCTTTCATAGTTGGAATGTATGACATTCTAGTTATTAATAAAATTCTAGTAAATGGGGGTTGAAGAAATGGCTCAGTGGTGAAGAGAGCTTGTTTCTCTTCCGAAGGACCTGAGTTTGGTTCTCAGCACCCTGCCTATAACTCCTGCTGGCTTGTGGGGGCGCCCATACACATGAGCATACACAGACACATTCACATAACTAAAACAATTCTAGTAAATGGTAACTAACACACATGTAGGTAGAGTTTTTCATCTAGATTGCAGATCAGCTCTGTCCTACCAGCCACTCCCCAAATAACCACACACAGACATATTATTAATTATAAATATTTGGCAAATAGCTTAGGCTATGACCAGCCAGCTCTTACAACTTAAATTAACCCATTTCTATTCATGTGCTGCCCCAAGGCTGGCTTACCTCATCTATTAACTTCCCATGTTGCTTCTTCTGTGTCTGGCTTGCAACGCTAAGACTCCATCATCCTTCTTCCCAGCATTGTCTCTGCCCAAAAAATCCTGCCTAGCTATTGGCCAATCAGCTTTTTATTAACAATGAGAGCAACACATCTTTACAGTGTACAAAGATTGTTCCAAAGCATTTCCCCCTTCTATCTAATTAAAAAGGAAGATTTCAGCTTTAACATAGTAAAATTATATAAAAAAAAACAGTTATCAAGTAAGAATTACAGTTACAATATCCAGTCCATTTATATTTGGCAAAATTACAGAAAATATTCTATTATTTATCTTATCTTTGTGAGTCTAAAGTTTTATACCTAATCTACCTTTTATTATAACTAAGGAAAAGGTTAAGTCTAATTATTTAGTCTTTAACTCTATCAAAGACCCCAGAATGGTGCAATATTACCCAATGACAGGGACGTCTGATGCCTGGACAGTCACCCAAAGTTCTTCTGTAAAGCTGGGGCATCCATCTTTGGTCTATAGGCTTAGTATATCTGACAGACATTTCTAAGAAGCAGGAATTTTGAAGGACTGTCCTACTTTGTCTTGGCAAAGTTTGGCAGTCACTTCTTTTGCATCCTGCTTGCTGGTCCAGTTTGGACAGCATATTGTCAGCAATTGAGACAAGGGCAGTTTGCCCAAATGGCTAGCTTTGGCCATGAAGAAAGCAAACTCCTTACGGAATTTTTTCAGTGCCCATCATCTTCCTTGACATAAATTGGTGCTTCCAGGAGCAGATGTGTCTAAGAAGAAAATCCTTATGTTATTAAAACATTTTAAATGCCATATTCTGTAGGTCTTTGAAGTATTAGAAGGCCATCTATATAAATATATGTTTAACCTTGAAAATATACCTAATATGACTACAAATTTGATGATTATAGATAACTACTAACCTGTATTTTTAATTATACATTACATTTTAAAATATCCGTATAGGCATAATACCCAAACAAGAGTAGAATCATACATAGAGCTTTATAAAATTAACCTTAAATTTGTATCAATAAACCAAAATCAATACCAATGTAAAATATTTTGAGATTAATAGTTGATTTTTTATTAAAGTAGATTCAATAATCTACTCTTTTATCTTATCATTTTTATATCTCTCCTCCTTTTCTCCTTTAGAAAGAGATCTTTGAATTTAACTCTTTTGCCTGGCTTTTTTCCTGACTATGACCAATAACAAGTTGTAACCACCCCCCTTAAATGATGACAAACATTCATAACCAGTCTTTGGGAATGTGGGCATTTTTTTCTAGACTGCTTCCTGTTGGCTGGGTACTCTGGCATCTTTGGGGAATCCTAAAAAAGATTACAATAATGATTAAGTCTTGGTTGGAGTAGTTGGTGAGGTTGGATCATCTCAACTAGCATCCTTGAAGCTGTTCTGAATGCAGAACTCTGAGTAAATTGCAACAGAGGCATTTTGAGGTTCTGGATCACCTGGGCATTTGTTTTCATTGGTGTCTGGTCCCCTTGCTCTGAACATACATAAACTTTAAAGGTAACATATATATTTGAATTAATACAAGTATAGACTCTATGTTATATACAAGTTGGCTAAAGATGATTTTTTTTTGTTTTATGTTTGAGCAGGAAAAATATACATTACATGTTTTCTAGGTTTATTTCTTTTTGTCTGTAGCCAGGATTTGTAGGGGTTTTCCCCAATAAAACCTGATCCATATCAACCTGGAATGAATTCACAGCCTCTCATTTCCTGTGGAAATAAAAGCCTAACCTGTGTCCCAAAGCAACACACCTTTTGATTTCCATTTTGAAGTCAAGATATTTTTAAATATGTATGTTAGTTTAATCTAGCAGCTTTCATAGTCCAATGTCTCAGCAGCTATTGCTCCTTCATCAGCAGCCAAAAAATTCAAAGACGACACAATAACATACAGGATCCAGACTGTCTATGTAGTTCCCATCTTTACATGGCTTATTATATTTTTTATTACTTTGTTCCTTTTTTAAGGACTTTCTTATTTTTAAACTATTTTTTTAACTTATGACTGTATATATCCTTTTTCTTCTCTCTCCCAAGCCTATGCATATTTTTAAACACACTGTAACCCATTTAGAGGTTTTTTCCTTTACTGAGCATCTGTCTTGATTTTTGACAGCATGAGATGAATCTTAAATTGTTGCGCCAGCTGCTGGCACTGCTCAGCTTAGTGCACGGTGCTAGCACATGGCTGTTGGCAGCTGGCTCCGTCCCACAGGCAGCAGCCAGGAGACACCTCTCTGTGCCACAGCCCACGTGAGAGACTGTGGGAACCCATCATGCAGCTTAGCTCATGGTGCACTGGTGGGGCTCATGCTGACCACTCAGGCCCACAGGCAGAGGCTGGGAGATGTGTCTCTGTACTGCGGCTGGCATGAGAGACATGAGACTAGGAAGCCATGCTTGGCTCCATTTTTGTGTGTTTAGAAACTTTTTTTTTTAAGTTTTCTCAAGTCTTATGTGGATGTAGGTGCCAGACATTTGGGTGTCATTTATAGGCAGAGTTTTCCATCTAGACCACTGATCAGCTGTGTCTCACCAGCCACTCCCCAAATAACCACACAGAAACTAATTATTAATTATAAATGCTCTGTTGATAGCTTAAGCTTGTCTCCAGACAGCTCTTACAACTTAAATTAACCGATTTCTATTCATCTATGTGCTGCCCCAAGGCTTCTTGACCTCATCTATGAACCTCATGTGGCTTCTTCTGCATCTGGCTCACAACTCTCAGACTCCACCCTCCTTCTTCCCTGTGTTCTCTCTGCCCCCAAAATTCTGCCTTGCTATTAGCCAATCAGCTTTTGATTAACAATGAGAGCAGCACATCTTTATAGTGTACAAAGATTGTTCCACAGCACATAAAAATATGATATATATGATGGCTATTTGGTGAATATTATATATATATACATATATATATATGTATGACATATATTTGTAACATTTATCTAAATTATGCCAGTATTAATAGAAACTCAGAAATCAAAAATTGAGATAAGAGCCTGATAAATCCAAGGAACAGAGGAGGGGTGATGGCTGACCCTACTCTCCATGTTTTCCTAGTCTAAAAGCCTCCAAAATCCCCCTCAGCCCTTCCTTCTGTCTTCCTGTCCTTTTATATTCAACTTCCTTAGTTCTCCAACAACTCTATGGCTAATCCCTGTCAACCAATCACTGACTCTGTCCTTGATTCAAGGTGGCTTTATTGGCACCACCGAGTGGCAATGCAAACAATTCTCCCACAATATTTCCCCCTTTTTGTCTAAATTAAAAGGAAAGGTTTTAACTCTAACATAGTAAAACTATATACAATAAAAACTATGATCAAGTAAGAAGTGCATTCACAGTGTCTAGTCTATTAGTATTGGGCAAATTCAAAGAAAATATTCCATTATCTAATCTTACCTTAGTGAGTCCAAAGTTTTGTACCTGATTTACTTTCTATCAAAACTATGGAAGACTGTAACTACAACTATCTAGTCTTCAACCCCATCAGAGACCTGAGAAGGATATAATATTACCTGAGTAAACAACTTCCAAAACTATAGAAATGACAGAGACAGCTGCCTGCCTGGATAGTCACCCAAGGTTCCCTGCAATGTTGGGGTATCCATCTTCAGCCCACAGGCCTGGAATAGCTGACAGATTTTTCTGTGAAGCAAGAATTTTGAAGAACTGTCCTACTTTGTCTTGGCAAAGTTCAGCAGTTGCTATCTTTTTGTCCTGCTTGTCCAATTTGGACAGCATACTGTCAGAAGTCAAGGCAAGGGTGGTTTCCTGCCCAGTGGCTAACTTTTGCCACCAAGAAAGCAAACTCCATATGGAAGTTGTTCAATGCACATCATCTTCTCTGAAGTAAATTGGTGCTGCCAGGAGCAGACGTGTCTCACTGCCATGAAAAGCCTTATGTTATTAAAACATCTTAAATTTCATATTCTGTACATCTCTAAAGTTTTTGAAGACCACCTATCTATCTAAAATATATGTTTGACCTTAAAAACATACCTAACATGACTACAAGTTTATTATAGATGATTAATTACTAACCTGTATTTCTTGATTATCCTAAATAGTTTGTAATAAGAACTTTCAAGGACTAGAAATTTACATTACATTGTTAAATGAGCTACATAGGTATAATACCTTAAACAAGAGTAAAAACATATATACAATATAATAAAAATAACCTTAAATTTGTATCAATATTAAAAAATAACTAAAGAAGTATAGAAAAATATATAGAGTATGTTCTAACAAAAATAACCTTAAATTTGTATTAATATACAAAAATCCATACCAATGTAAAATATTTGAGACTAGTAATTGCTTTTTAGTCTAAAAGTAGATTGAATAACCTAACTTTTTATCCTATCATTCCCCTATTCCCCCTTTTCTTTTCAGAATGAGATCCTTGAATCTTACCTCTTTTGTTAAGTTTTTTTTACCATGATCAGTAATGACTTGTAACTAACCCCCCTAAATGATGATAAACATCTATAATCCATCGAACAACCAAAAACCATCCTCCCCACCTCTTCAGAATATAGGTGTCATGTTTTCTAGACTGCTTCCTGTTTTCTGGAGGTGACAGCATCTTTAGGGTACCCTGAGAAAATTGGGATAATGGTCAAGTACTAGGAGAGCTAGCTGTGTTATTTTTTGTTTAGTCTCTGTGTGATGGCAAAGTGTAGAGCTTTTCTGAAGTCCTGGCTGGTTAGTCTGTGAGGTTGGACCATCTCAGCTAGCAGCTTTGAAGATGTTCTGGATGCAGAATTTTGAGGAAACTGTAACAGAGGCATTCTGAGAGGCTGGATCAGCTGGGCTACTTGTTTTCATTGGTGTCTGGCTCTTTTGTTCTGAAAACACATTAACTTTTAAAGGTAACATATATATCTGCATTAAAACAAGTATGGAATGTGCGGTGAGTATAAGTCAGCTAAAGATAATTTTTTGTTTTATGTTTGAGCAGGTAAAAAGCATCTGTTAACTTTATAAGTTTGTTTGGACTGTGTAACCAAACTTCAATCAATTGCATATGAAAGGATGACATCTAATAATAAGTCATGAGGACTCTATAGTCAATAAGATTTATCATATCTCACCCAGTCTCAGAGCTGTTCCCATACAGAGGGATCAGCATACATGTCACCTGTTCTGTAGTCTTTCTTGTCTTCCTCCCTCATGTCTGCAGCCAGGATCCTCAGGAGTTCTCCTCTGGTCAAATCTGATCTCTTTTAACTTTGAATGAATCCATAGCTTTTTGCTTCCTGTAGAAATAAAGCACAACCTCTTCCCTAATGCAACACATTTCCTGATTTCCATTCTGAAACCAAGACATCTCTAAAGTATCTAGGCTGGTTTAATTCAGCAGTTCCTTTCACAATCCCATGTCTCTCAACAGCTGCCATTCTCTCAGCATTAAAAAAAAATTAAAGTCAGCAAAGCACCATACAGGATACAGATGCCCTGTGTATTTCCCATCCTGCATGGCTTATTCTTTCTATATTACTTACTCTTTCTTTTTTACTGAGCACCTGCAGCCTTCTCTGACCTTGTGAGCCAAGCCTTAAACCCCACTGTGTAATTGAGCACATGGCACTGGCTGACTCAAGCCAACAGGCAGTGACTGGGAGCTATATCACTGTACACCATGGCCCATCTAGAGACTGTGGGACTAAGAAGCTGCATCTGGCTCCCTGTTTGCATGTTTGGAACTTTTCAAAAAGCTTTCTCAGGTCCTATGTGGAAATTTGTGCCCCTACATTGGACACCATATGTAGCAAGCTTTCTTGACCCAACTGCCAGCATGCAAATAATGACATGGAGACTTACTATTAATTATGAAAGCTTGGCCTTTAGCTTAGGCTTGTCCTACTAGCTCTTATAATGTAAATTAACCCATTTATATTAATCTATGTTCTGTTACTTGGCATTACCTCTCTTCCATCTTGCACCTCCTGTTTCCTCTCTATGTCTGGCTGGCGACTCTGCTTTTCTTCTTTCCAGAGTTCTCTCTGTCCATGAAAGTCCTACCTAACCTCTTCCTGACTAGCTATTGGCCATTCAGCTCTTTATTAAATAAATCAGAAGGCACCTTGGCAAAGATACATTTTCACAGTGTAAACAAATATTCCTATATATATATATATATATATATATATATATGTATGTATGTATGTATGTATGTATGTATGTATGTATATATGTGTATTGCTTGATTATCCCCCCAACAGCAACTGTCCTAATATGTGGGTGGTGAAGGAGAGAAAATAAAATGGATTAAATGGGTGTTGTTCGTTCTACTCCCCCTAGTTAATGTGAACTGTCCAAATAACAATATGTGGGTGTCACTGTTCAGAGATGCCTAAATTTGTATTTTTATTTAAGTACATAAGCTTACTATATTTATATCTATGTAGTGTACATATAACTATATTTATACTATATTTAAGTATATAAAACTACTATATATGAAATGGCACTCCTTAGCAAAACAAAATTAAATTGTTTATACATATTCACAAAAATGAGATTGAGTTCTCTCCTGATATTAGATTGCAACTTAAAATATAGAATCATTTTATTATAAAGAAAGACAATGTTTTTTTTTAGTATATGCAATTTAAGAAAGCTGGAAATTTTAACTCAGTGATAAGTCATTTTTGTAGATTAAAAAAAAAACTTTTAATAGAAAACAATGACTATAAACTTGATTACCAGAATATAATGTTTTAAAACAATGATGGCTGTTATTCTTTAGTAATGTAGCATTTTTCAAATTTATGTGCTATGTCTCTTATTATAAAACCATCTATAATTCTAACAATGAATCTCCCATGTTTATTCATTCTGCCCATTAAAAAATCAAAGGGGGTATTAAAATAGTGTCAATATACACTGTTTTTAAAATTTGTTAGCCATATTACCTTAAGATAGTTTATCAACCAAAGTCAAGCTAAGTTTGACTCTACAATTTACAAGATGAAATAAAAACATGACCTCATTGACCTATGAGAGCTTTACAGGTGTGGCCCACACAAGCAATGCCATGAGTCAACGGTTCGTTGTGGAGGAGAATGCCTTTCCTGTACTTATTCAGCTACTAAGAAGTCACCCTTCTACTAACATTAAGGTATGTATTAAAGTTTTAAATGTTTTCTGACATAGTAAATGTAATATTTTAAGAATAATTTGTATCTTAGATTATGCAGGTTTACAAGCATAACAATTTAACTTTTAAAACAAAGTTCTAAAAGTTTTAAGAAGAAAATATTGATGTAGTAAATATTAATTTCTTCAAATATGATAGGAAAGTCTTATGCACTTACTCTTTAATTATTTTCCTTAGCCATTCACTGTGTTTTCAGAGACTAGCTTCCCACCTCCTCAGTGATTGTTAAAATTGGGTGGGAAGAAGGGCCCTGTTTCTCAAGAACAAGGGAATACCCATCAACATAGCATGGTTTGGCTGTCGGTCAGTGCTCCCAGATGAATTACTTTGCGGTCTTTCAGAGTTTGTCACTCTTTCTCCCACTAGTAAAATGCCTTCAATAAGCCAGCATCAATTCAAACCCTTTTACCAAAGCCATAGAAATTCAGAAATTCTATTGGTGGTTAAGCAGGAAAATATAACATACATTTATAGAAAATTAAAAATACATTTTCTTCTCATAGTTTGCCAGGGCTCTGTTAGTGATGAGGAAAATGAAAAATATAGAATAATGTGTTAGTGAATAGTAACACTTCCTTTTATAGATATATTGTAAAATAAAAGATATTAAGTTATTTGGCTTCTCAGGATATAAGAAATAGAAAAATACAGGAGATTAATGTGTTAGTGAATAGTAATATTTCCTTTTACAGAAACATTATCAGAAAAGATGTCATAAGATACTTGGCCTTTCAGGAGACAAAAGGGATGATTTTATTGCAAGAGTTTAGTGGGGAAATAAAGGGAAACAGAAGCTACAAATCATTTTTGGTTTGAATTACAAATAAAATTATATAAACTTTTAAGATATAAGTATATTTCATAAGACTATGGAAATGCCATATAAAATACATTTATATTTAAATGTATTTCATGGGAAAACTTCTATTTTTATCCATTTATAATTCAATTTATTTTTCAGTGGTGTTAAACTATAACATAAATAGTTTCAGTCATTTTCCTGAAAATTAAACTCTACAGTGGATAGAATATTTCTAATTCTTAACATTTTTTCATAGGCAGGCATAGTACAGCACTTTTAAAAGCTGCCTGTTAAGTCCAGCAATGGACATGGTTCATCGTCCTAATGGAAGATAAATGCAAGTTAAATGACTCTGAAACTAGAAGAAAAAGACTATTTCTTGATTCTATGTTTATAAAACTTTGCTTAAATTCTTAGGCAGTCCTTTACAGTTTGATAGCTCTGTGATCATTAGCAACTTAAAACAGCTTTTAAACCCACGCCAGTAAACATTTAAAAGTTATATTTAGATGTGGGAGGGATACAAATACATATGTAAGATTATGATAGCACCTCTGTGCATGCCTTGCTGTCCCTAGGACATGCCCCCCAGCACCCTCAGGAGATGTGCGATGATCTCTGGTCACAGAGGAGATGGGTATTTCCTGATCATTAAAATTTATGAGGGACAGTCCTCCAGAAGCTGTGTTATTCTTTAACAGTAGTCAAAGAATTATAGTCAACACATTGTGCTTTAAAACACTTTTTTTTTTTTTTTTTGGTTTTTCGAGACAGGGTTTCTCTGTGTAGCTTTGCGCCTTTCCTGGAACTCACTTGGTAGTCCAGGCTGGCCTCGAACTCACAGAGATCCGCCTGGCTCTGCCTCCCGAGTGCTGGGATTAAAGGCGTGCGCCACCACCGCCCAGCTATGTGCTTTAAAACACTTTATAATTATATTTCCATAATCTAGCCTGTATAAATATTTAAATAATGAATACATTCTTCAGTAATGCGTGAATGAAACATAATTTCTGAAAACCACATATTTAGGTTGAAGTGGCATTTTCTTTGGCATGCATCGTCCTAGGGAATGAGTTGCTACAGAAAGAATTACAAGAAAAGGAAGGATTTGAGTATTCTGATGTCCTTTATCTTCTTCACTCCAAAGAAAAGGTAGGGCCTTCACATGCCTCAGCGTGATCACCTAGGGGAAATGGTTCTAAGAAAACACAATCAGTTATGATCAAGTATTCTCCATGGCAACATCCAAGCTTATTATTTAAGAGAATCTATAAAAGCTTTCTTTGTTATGAGTTTCTAATGGTGTGATAATACGGTTCCAAATTTTTCATAGTTGCTGTATGTGTTCCTTGACATGCACAAATTTAATGTTTGGTGGAATCTCTGTCCTGAATCGAACCTTTCACTTAATTGCATGCCCTCCCAATTCCCTGTTATACATTTCTTACCCAGAGAGCACTGAGGCTTTGGAAATGCTGCACGGTAAAGAGAGATTTCTCCAGACAGCTAATATGAGACAATTATTTTTTCTTTAAAAATTTTTCCCAACAATGTCCTATTTCTCTACTTGATAAGAATGAAATGTATTTTTAATAGACAATAACTTGCTACAGAAAGAATTACAAGAAAAGGAAGGATTTGAGTATTCTGATGTCCTTTATCTTCTGGCAAGCAACCTGTAATGAAGCAAATGAAAATGATTGGCATTTCTCCTCTTTCCAGGACATTTGCCTGAGAGCAGGTTATGCACTAACTCTTTTTGCCTTCAACAATCGTTTTCAACAGTACTTAATACTGGAAAGTGGAATGCTAACCTTATCTATTTTTGAGCCTTTTCTTCGATCCAAGGTTGAAACAGAGAAGGCAATGGCAGCGTTTCAGGTACACAGAGCATAAGATTTCATACTGGCAAGTACATTGTCTTAGTGAACACTTCCTTACTGGGGATTCAGAAAAATGTTTATTAATTTATGAAATTTGGTATTCTGCACATTAGCCCTTCTACCTCATAAAAAGTCCATTGTTAGAACTTCTTTATTTATATAGAATTTTTCAAGTTACATCTGATGCCTGCAGCGACCCTGTGAGGTCCATAGGCAGGTGTTTTAATCACATCATGTAAACAGATAACTATGTGGAGACATATGGTTCGGTTGAAAACAGGTCTAATTGTGGGCTGTCAGCTGATGACATGGCTCCTTCCACCTGTAGCCATATTTAGGCTCCTCTCTGCCTTATGCTTACTCTTCAGAGCCTCTCTGTCCTACAGCCTTGTGAAGTATTTCTCTTCAAATTCAAGGTCAAATGCTGCAAAAACTGCAGAAAGAACAATGTGGTCATTGTGGTCATTGCTATGAGCATTTGTGGGGGGAGTACTTGAACTCTTGCCTCCCACCTATCAAATCTCTTTTATTGGAGCCCACCAAATGTTACCCTTTTAAATGCCCCCAAATCATAAATGATTAAGAGAATCTAAGTATCAAATATTTACCAATTCTTGTTTTTTGTTTCATTTTCTTTTAGATTATTGTATTAGCTAAAGTCATTATAGATGTGGACCATATTACTTTGTCTGCAAGAGGTGTTACTATTTTAGTTGACAGTCTGTATTCAGTCCACATTCCTACTATTGTCCTGGCAGGTAAGGAATAGCTAAGAAAACAAAACAAAACAAAACAAAACAAAAAAAACCATAATGGCATCTACACAAAGGAACACAGATTTGTGTCCAAGAGAGATAATAAAATATTTTAAATTGGAATCTCACCAATAGTAAAATATGTCTGATACCCTGTTGCATTGTTTCAAATGATGCTGCTTGAAAGTACATGTCTGCATAGAGCAATGGGCATGGCATCTACTCTGCACCCTGCATGGGGCAATGGGCATCCACCCTGCTTGCTGAACAGGAATGCAGAAACTCTCAACACAGCCCTTTTGCTTTCCTAATTATTATTTCAAACTTCTAATGATTTTCTAGACTATAAAGTAAGAATTCAATTATGCACTACCAAGAAAAAATTTACACTCTGATTTTCAGTAGTAGTGGCAGATTTACATTGATATGCTTTGTGTTTCTTTTGAATTGTATACATTCTGTTATTATTTAAGAGTTCTTGAAAAATTTTTAGCTATATTTATTATATTATTTTTGTATGAGTGTTTCGCCTGCATGTATGTATGTGTATTACTGTGTGCCTTTTGCCCGTGGAGGCCAGAAGAGGGTATCCACTGGGACTGGGGTTATGGATAATTGTGAGCCATCATGTGGGCACTGGGAATTGAACCAAGGTCTTCTATAAGAACAACAGGTGTTCTTAACTGCTGAGACAAATTCATTCCTTTAATTCCAGCTCTCTGGAGGCAGAGGTAGGTGGATCTCTGTGAGTTTGAGGTGAACGTGGTCTACATAATGAGTTCTAGGACAGCCAGGGTTATGTAGAGAGACCCTGTCTCAAAAAACAAACAAACAAGCAAAAAGAAATACAGGGGTTGGGGATTTAGCTCAGTGGTAGAGCACTTGCCTAGCAAGCGCAAGGCCCGGGGTTCAGTCCTCAGCTCTGAAAAAAGAAAGAATGAAAGAAAGAAAGACAGACAGACAACAGAGTCAAGGAAAATGGTTCACTAGTTCTCTTGACAAAATGTTATCTGTGCAAGTATATCCACCCAAGCTTACCCATACTTTTAGCAATAGGTGATAAATAATATTTAACTGAACTACCACTCACAGCTACATAAACAGTTTCAGAATGATAGTTTGTGACTACTAGCAAAATAAACAAAAGATCAAATATATTATTAACTTAGTCAGTTGCTCTATGAGAGAAGCATGTTTTGAAGTCTATCTGTTTAAAAAGGAAGACAAGTGATTTGGACTAGACAGAAAAAGGGGTCTTGGAAAGAAATGTGATAGTAGAAGTTTTAAATTTTGATTCATGATCTTTTTGCTACAAGAAATGCCATGTTATATTTGCTTCCAACTATTAATTTTCTTAATCTGGAAGAAATGCATATCATGTACAGACATAAATTCAGGGAAAACATTTATACACATAAACTTAATAGACTTTATAAAAGCTGAACAACTGAAAAACAGACTGAATGTATTTTTAAAATTTGAAAAACAGAAAGCTTCCATCTTTAAAAATTTGTCGTTCTTACATAGACCTGTGTAAGTTTTAGTATGTGTGACAGAAAATCAATCAACTACATGAACAATCATTCCACATTTACATGTACATGTTCCTTTTTTTTCTTGCTTCATTAACAGACAAGTTTTGTAGCTCAAACTTTTAAAAATACAGTGTACAAGTGAACAAAGAGCAACATATGTGTTATCAGCTTTAGATAATATAGGAGCTTTTCTTTGTTTTAATTCTAGGTAATTTAATAGCTAGTCTGGCTCACTCTAGAGCTGGTATTCCAGCCGCTTTTCTGACGCTAGGGACAGTCCAACGGCTATGCTACCACCTGTACTCAGGAAGAGAAGAGGTAAAAACAAAAGGCTAATCGTAAAATTGAATGTGCTACAAATAATGAAATTTGCTTCTCTCACATAAGGGGATGCTTTTTCCCTTGAGATAGTACATAATTCAAAATAACTAGAAAATAGATGAACTTTCCAGTATTAATCATACCTGACATCTGCAATTCTGATTTCCCACAAAATTACATTTTTTAATTCTATTTAATTATAATTGTAATTGTAATTATATTACATCCTGACCACAATTTTCCTTCCTTCTCTCCTCCCAGTCCCTCTCTCCCCATCTACTCCTCCTTTTCCCCCTCATAAAAGGGTGGCCCTCCCAGGGATATCAACTGAACATGGCATATCAATAATAAGACTAAGTACCTCCCCTCATATTAAGACTGGACAATGTTGTTTTCAACTAAGTCTCTATCATTCTATTTTATCAATAAAGACTCAGGAGCCAGATGCTGGGGTGAAAACCTGCTAGCTCAGAGAGGCAGAGAAAGCAGACAGCTGCTTCCTCCTCCACTGTTGTCATTCCAGAAAAAGAGCTTTTTCTGACCCATCTCAAACAAAACTCCTCCAACAGGATGTCCCTCCCTTCTACTTCCTGTGTAACTCTCTCTTTGTCCTCCTGACTCCCTCTTAATCTCTATGGTTATTTCCTCTCAATTGGTTGCTTGCTCTGCCTCTTGACCTAAGGTTGATTTTATTTGATCCTTTTCACAATATTCACGCAGAAAGCTCTTGGATTAAAGGTGTGTGCTAGGGCTAAGCCATACCACAGCTAGAAAGTCTTGGTGTCCACAGTGTGATCGAATATCCTGCAACAGGATGAGGCAACCCAGTGGGAGGAAAAGAGTCCCAAAGGCATGCAAAAGAGTCAGAGACAGCCCCTGCTCCTACTGTTAGGAGTTCCACAAGAAGACCAAGCTACACAACTGTAACATATGTGCAGAAGGCCTAAGTCAGACCCATGCAGCCTCTCTAATTATTGCTTCAGACTCTGTGAGTCCCTATGCACCCAGGTTAGTTGATTCTGTGGGTTTTCTTGTGGTGCTCTTGACCCCTCTGGCTCCAACAATCCTTCCTCCCCACCTTCTGCAGGATTCCCCAAGCTCTGCCTAATGTTTGGCTGTGGATCTCTGCATCTGTTTCCATCAGTTGCTGGATGGAGCCTCTCTGATGGCAATTATGCTAGATTCCTGTCTACAAGTATAGCAGAATACCAGAACATAATTAGGAATCATTTCATTGATTTTTTTTTTTTTTTTTGCTGGTGAGCATGCATTTATTTTAACTCTGACATCTAAACAGATTCTTAAAAAAGCAGTATAGAACAACTATAATTAAAGATTTTAAAACTATGGGGCTGGAGAGATGGTTAAGAGCATGTACTGCTCTTGAAGAAGACCCCAGTTTGGCTCCCAGCACCCTTATTGGATGGCTCACAACTGCCTGTAACTCCAGTTCCAGAGGATCCAATGCCCTTTTCTGGTCTCCATGGGGGTGGACACACACACACACACACACACACACACAGAGAGAGAGAGAGAGAGAGAGAGAGAGAGAGAGAGAGAGAGAGAGAGGAGAGAGAGAGGGAGTTTTTTTAACTTACAGAAATCAGCACAGAAAAGGAAAACTGATGATTACCATTGTTGGTAAATGGGTGGAAAGCCACTGAGCAAATCTGTATGTATACCTGCACACATTGTAAGTAAATTTGTTGCAACTCTGTGGGTTTGGTCCCAAGTTTTGGCACCAAAAGGTGAGTTCTGCAACTCTGGGAAAGATATCCTGACTACTTGGGGAGTCAGGCAACACCTGGAGCTGCTTAGGACAACTCTGATGGCTGGAGCTGCAAAGAGAGAGCTCAACCCTGGAGGGCGAGGTATCCCGGATACCTGGAGCTGCTTAGGACAACTCTGACGGCTGGAGCTGCAAAGAGACAGCTCAGCCCTGGAAGGGAAGTTTTTCCTGACTGCTTGGGAGAGTCAGGCTCTACCTGGTGTGATGGGGGATGGTCTCCCCACAGGATGTAGCAATCCTGCTCCTCTCCTGGAGAGCCGCTACAGCTGAGCTTTGCTCAGCCCCCACTTAAGGGGGCTTCCTAGCAGAGCTCTGCTTCTCTGGCCTAAGAAATTGCAGAAATGTAGCAATCTCCTCTTGCTCAGGAGAAACGTGTTACTTTTTCAGCTCTTTCAGCTCTTCCTTGCTCTGTCCACTGAGGGACATCTCAGCAAGGATCTTCTGTTCAGCCCCTCCTTGTTCTGTCCACTGAGGGATGTCTCAGCAAGGGTCTACTCTACACCAGTGAATGAAGATCTTCACACCCAAAACTCCTTTGAGAGAGATTTATTTGGGAAGGAGGAGTCCAGGAAAGTAGCTGCCTCTACCAGGGTGGAGAGAACAGCCCACAACTGACCAGGCAGGGCAGTTTATATAGGATGTCTTGGGGGAGGAGTCAACCAGTGATTGGTTAATTTTTTTCTGCCCAGGGATTGGCCAGTTTTGTGGGCTAGGGACAGAGATGGCCCTGATTTCAGGGCCAAACTGTTTCTTTCACTGGCCTTTCTTGGCTTTTTGACACTGTCTCTAAGGCCAGGGCACATTTCTTTCACTGACTCGGATTCTAGGGACCAGGAGTGTTTCTTTGGCACTAGTTTCAGAGTCAGGGCATGTTTCCTTGGTTCTGGGTTTGGGGATAAAGTGTTCATTTCTCTGGCTCAGGTCCCAAACCTGGGCTTGCTTTCCCTGGTCCTGGGCCCTGGGGCCAGGATTCTGCTGTCCTGCTCTGTGATTGGCTGGTTTCACAAGTCAGTTGGCCAGGGGCAGAGATGGCTCTAATTTGGGCCAAACTGTGTTTCTTTCACTGGTCTTATCTAAGCCATCTTTCCCTAGTTCTGGGCTCCAGGGTCAGGGTGGGTTTCTTTAGCCAGCCCCTTTTCCCTCCATGCCTTCTGATCAGTCTCCTCACAGCAGACAGACAGCAGAGAAAGAAGACACTCTTTAGTATCATTCTTATTAAGATGTTTAAATCCATCCTAATTAATCTCGGAGCTAAAATACAAAAACAAAACTGTGGAATGAATTGTTTTAATTATAAAATCAAACTTTAATCTACACAAGTGTTGGAGTCCTGCCTCATCTGGGTTCAGGTCCTGAGATGGGGAAGCGGCACTGGTGCAAAGAAAAGTCTGATCCCCAGATGGGTTTCATACAAGTGGCGGCCACAAGTAGTGAGCCATCTTTATTTATACTTCAAAGGAACATGCTTATCCCAACTTTTAAATCAAAACAACTCTTAAACCAAAAACAATGCTCAGTATTTTGCTAGCTTGGCTAAATATCCAGCCAGGCACATCTTGTCCTTACAGAGCTAAAAGGTGATAGACATAGGCATACATTCTGAAGACCAACAACTTAACAAAGCATATTTACAAAAATAAGGGTGATTTGCCATAAGCTGCTTGCATACAGTTAGTTAGCCTGTATTTCTTTAATTGGTCCCTTGTCCTACACAAGGGTCCTACATGCCTAAACCTCTCCATAAAGGGTGAACTTTGATAAGACACTCCTTTTCCAGCATGCCACACCATTCTTAATGTTCGTTCCCAGCACTGGGAGATGTGGTTATGTCACCTGTGCTGCTTCCTTATATGTGCCCAGTAATTTTTATTACCTCTGATCCTGTCAGCACTGAATCAGAGAGGCCCCCCAGGGCCTGGAGTGACAGCTGGTGTTTCCAGATAAGAAACCTGAGAAGCATCAGAATTTTAGGGGAAAATATTTGAGAAAAAAAAAATGGGTTTCTGGGAATAATTACATCTGTCCCATGCATGACTAACAAAGTAAAACTAAAAACCACCAAGAGAATCATCAACATTATGAGAGAGAAGAGAGTATGCAGGGCATGTGGTACTACAGTATTCTATGCTGTCCTGAGGCCCACTGGTCCTTGCTGAGTGAGAGACTGTCTCCCCGGGCTTTGCCCTGCAGAGACCCATTGGACAAGCGTTCATATGCTGATCCAAAACTAGGCCACATGGCTCCCAACACAACCTCATGTCATAGTTTATGCCAGTAATCTCAGCACTCAGGGGGCTGAGACAGGAGAATTCCTCCTACTTCAAAGCCATCTGGGTTACACAGAGATTTAGAATGTGCCTTGTGAAAGGATGGCATGCAGATGTGTGAAGGGCATCCTATTATATTCAGTCTATACATATACTGTGATGATACAGAAATTTATAATTAAAATATTTAGAAAGTATCTCACAAGAATTGGTTACTTAGCAAGTGAGTGAACCTTTTTATTTTCATTTTTTAATATTCTAGGTAATCCTAAAATGAAATCAAGTGTGTTCACAGATATTGTGAACAGCGACCAGAAACCAGTGGCAATTAACAGTATTCTGTAAAAATATGGGCAGAGGATGAGGCCTGGAAGTGGAATGAGTGACCTGGCATGCACCAATTATGCCCCTACCTGATGATGGATTTCTGTTTACATCCGTACCTGATATTCTTGTTTGCAGAAATTATCTTAAGGTTTCTTTTTAATAATGTGTGTGTCTGTGTAGGTTTGTGCATGTGAATCCAAGTTCCTGTAGAGGGCAGAAGAGGGTGTTGGATCCCCTGGACTTGAAGTTCCAGGTGCTTGCCTGGTGTGAGTCCTGGGACCTGAACTCAGGTCCAACATACACTTTCTTAAAAAGGAGCTAATTAGAGCTCTGGGCTAGATAATTTTTATTAGTTTTCTTGAAAATACCATACCAAGTGTTTTCATCACATTCACCTCTTCATCCCTCCAATTTCTCCCTCACCCATTCCCACTCCCCTACCCACACAACTTTGAGTCCTTTTTAAAAGTCCATCAAGACCAATTTATGCTGTTCAAAAGACCCTGAATGTGTCGTCTTCCACTGGAGTGTGGTTGACTTATCAGGGGCTACATTCTTTTTTTTTTTTTTTTTTTTTAATTTAAGAAAAATTTTTTAATTCATTTTACATAGCAACCACAGATCCCCCTCTCATTCTTCCTCCTGCTACCCCCAGCCTCCCTCCCCCATCCACTCTCCATCCCCTCCTCTGAAAGGATAAAGCCTCCTATGGGGAGTCAGCAAAGTCTGGTACATTCAGTTGAGGCAGGACCAAGCCCCTCCCCCCTGTATCAAGGCTGGGCAAGGTATCCCGCCATAGGAAATGGGCTCCAAAAAGCCAGCTCATACACCAAGGGTAGATCCTGATCCCACTGCCAGGGGCCCCTCAAACAGACCAAGCTACACACTGTCTTTTGTATGCAGAGGGCCTAGTTCAGTACAATGCAGGCTCCACAGCTGTCAGTCTAAAGTTTATGAGTTCCCACAAGCTTAGTTTAGTTGTCTCTGTAGATTTCCCCATCATGATATTGACCCCCCCTTGCTCCCAGAATCCCTCTTCTCTCTCTTTGACTGGACTCCCGGAGCTTGGCCTGATGCTTGGCTGTGGATCTCTGCATCTGCTTCCATTAGTTACTGGATTAAGGCTCTCTGATGACAGTTAGGGTACTCACCAACCTGATTACCGGGGTAGGAAATTCCCCGGAATCCACAGGGATGACCCAAGCTTAGGCTACTAGCAATAGTGGAGAGGGGCTGCATTCTTAAGAGAAAACTGTCTGTCCCTGTCCCAGCAGCTCACAATTGCCAGTAGCTCTGTGGCTATGAGTAGGGTTGTATGCCTAACTCCCATTTGTTTGCTGGGATTTGGTTTGGGTTGCTCTCACACAGACTGTGTGTATGCTTTTGAAACTACTCTGTGTTTATATGCTGAGCTGCCTTGCTGTACAGAAGGCACTGTTTTCTGTTGTCAATTTCCATCACTTCTTGTGCAATTTATCCCTGAACCTTCAGAGCCCATTGGTTAAGAAGTTTCTTCTTATAAAACTGTGATAAACCTATTTTGAAAGAGAGAAATTCTACATATGCTACCTACATGACACACTCAACCCATACATTTATTAAAAATTCAAGATGGATACCAAGACTTGAACCCAAAATTATGTTTAAAAAGTGTATATAAGTATATTTCACTCTGGTGACTTGTGTAATTTAAAATGGTCAAAATAGCAAATATTATGCCAGTTATATTTTATCATAATAAAATATTAGGAAAACATGCAAAAAGTTTTTTGTTTCAGGTTCGCACAGCGTGTTCTTGTGCCCTTGGCTACCTGACTTACAATGCACATGCTTTCCGAATCCTGCTAAAGGAGTGCAGGAACAAACCTAACCAGTTCCTGCGCATAATGAATAACATCAGCAGAGACGCGAAGATTAACCCCGTCTTCCTGAAGGAGTTCCAAATGCAGCAAAATGTGGGACTTCCGTCCTTAAGGTATTGCCCCTTTATAAATGACAGTAGCGGCATTATCAGTACAGTTCTTGGGAGATTTTAGGGGGTCCAGCATGTAAAACTCTCCTTGACATGCATGCCTCTGCATACCAGTGTAAACTTAACCTTGAATGTTCATTGACAAAGCCGGTTTTCTTTAGTTTTGAATGCCAAATATCTTGCTTTTTGGTTTATGTCTGCATCAAAATACCTAGCCAGCAAGGTTCTGTTAAGTGCTAAGTTTCTTTCCTCACTTTAATGCCTTGTTCCACCGAGGAAAAACAGTGAAAGTCACATTATTACAGCCTGGGAATAAGCTGGGGCTATGGAAAGGTTAGTTGATTTATTCTTTGGTGAGTAAGCAGATCTAGGCCCAGGCAAGATCCGATTTGTTATATTGTTTCTGAAAAGTGCACTACAAAATAGAAGGTCCTGTTTCAAAGTTAGGATGAAAATGGAGGAGGAGGAGGAGTTTCCTTCAGAAAAACAACCACCAGAATTTCTGAAGACTGTCTGTCTGTTTTTGTTTTCTTCTTCTTTAAAATAGTTCAGCGAGAGGGTAAAATCTCAACTGAGCTTTAAAGCACTGCTCCTGCTATGCTCACTAGTGGGCAGCTACCTTGCTGTTGGGCACACTGTTATAGAGTAGAAATGGAAAGTGTTACTAGAGACTGGGAGAGTGAGCTGTGAAGCATGGTAGGTGCTGAATTCTCAGAGGTTTCTTCCAGAAACAGAAAAACAACAACTACAACAACACAACCCAAAACAGGCTCTTCCTGTCAATTTATCAACATAAATAAGTAAATGCACCAGTGGCTAGGCTTGGTGGTACTTGCCTGCAATCTTAGCACTGGGAAGGAAACAAGGCGGCCCCAGAGCTCCCTGGCCAGCCAGTCCATTCAATTGGGTGAGTGAGTTACAGGCCAGGGAGACTCTCTCTCTCTCTCTCTCACTCTCTCTCTCTCTCTTTCTCCCTCCCTCCCTCTCTGTCACACACACACACACACACACACACACCATTTAGGAAGTTCCTCCTCCACCTGGCAGGTGGAGCAGTTCAGAAAGGACTCATGAGCATAGCCACTTCAGAGTCTGCAAAAATTACTGAGGTCAGAGATCCTATAGAAATGGGTCACAGCTGTACCACCCGGATGTGGACAATCCGATGAGATTAGACCCATATTTTCTTGAAAAGAAGTGCTTAGAAAGCCAAGCAGCATAAAGGGCAGAGAACAAGAGCCATGAGAAGCGAAGCAGCAGCCTGACTTGCCATGTGGCTCCACAAAGTCCTCACCAACAGTGAAGTACGGGTGAGCACACGGCTTCTCAAGCCAAATCCCAGGAACAACCCTGCTCCTGGAGGCCAGTGTTGAGGAATGGCAAACCAGTCCTGTTGTCACACAGAGAAGGAAGGCATGCTCAGGACATAGATGATGGAGAGGTGGATGAACAGAGGCCATCTGGAACTTCAGAAGTCATGGCTTTCCATTAGCCTTCTGTGGGGATGAAGCTCCCCATAGTCAGCAGAGCAACCACCAGGTAGTCGGGTTTGAAGTGAGGGGCTTTCTGTGAATTGTTAAGTCCACAGAAATGAGCTGAGACGGAACACTGTACTCACAAGAACATCCCCTCGATCTCCTTCTTGTGTATAGGGGTCATGAAATACACATTTGTTCTGGCAATCAAAATTCCCCAAAAGATAAACAAAGTAGATATCCAAAAGTTGCCAGTATCTGTGTGGATGAATGTGCTTTACATTCAAGCATAAAAAGAGGCATAGGTGGTCCACAGCCATGTAGCAGGTAGTCACTGTCCTTCAGCTCATCAGGAAGCAGCACATCTTATCAGCTGCCTTTCCAACATCTCTCCCAGAACTGATAAACGAGCTCCTCCATATTCTCCATGTCATGATGGGCCTAGGGAAAATACCAGTACCACACCTCATCCTCTCCCTGGGAGCATGGACACATCGGTTGTTTTTATGGTTACTCATTTTTCTCTCCCAGCAGAGGTTCTAATACAGCCAGTTCTAACTTACTGGTTTCTCTGTTAGCGTCAGGGTCCCACTGCCCTGCTGTCACTGATTAAGAAGACACGTGGCTAGTACTTCAGTACCCTGCAGCTTCAGCGGAGAGGAAAATTGGGGTCTTTGAATTCCAAGAGTCAGAGGGCTCCCGATGATAGTAGACACTTACACTCAAAGATAACTTGTCAACATAACCCCTAACCTAATCAAGGTGGGGACACTCGTGCCCCTCCAAGTTAGTCATCCTTCCCAGTCACAGGGCCCCACCCTATTTATTTTAGAAACAGTGCTTTGCTATGTGGTCCAGCTCCAATCTCCCTCCTTCCTCTGCCTCTTCAGTAACTGGGACTGGAGATGCATGATGATTGTGTCGAGGTCAAAACCCGTTTTAATCTCAGTTCAGTAATGGGCTGTGGTGTGGAGAGAAGAACCAGATTTCGGGGTCCTGTGTAGACGGGGTTATTTCAACTTTACAAGTTTTGGGGGGACTGATAAACTCTATGCCTGACTCAGGAATCTGTTCTTTATTAACCTGGAGATAAATTAGAAGACATCTGAACTAATCAGGAAAGACAAAATAATCTTCACTCCAAATGGATTTCCCATACTTCTGACCCAAGGCCAAGCCAAGCTTCTTGGAAGGAAACAGGGCTAAAATGACACAGTGGCTGAAGTTTTAGTTTCTGTCAGGCATTTTGCTCAGATGATTTTGTCTCAATGTTATAGTTTCATTATAACCTAAGTCTTTACGATAGGGAGTGAAAAAAATCTTACTGTGGACTATATTCTCTGCTTCCATACACAAAGCTGAATTATGACTCTTTCCAAGTAGGAAAACATTCATGGAAGAGCTACTCAAGATATATTATTACTCAGATACAAGAAGGGAATAAGACACAAAAGCATATTATGGTTATATAAATCAGTTTTAAGTATAGAAAAAGATAAGTCTATTTCAAGAATCCTTTGAAAACTAAAAATCCCAAATAAATTACATGAATATAAAACACAATCTGAACTTTAATTCTAATAATTTATGTTAAATTAATTTCACTGTTTCATAAATTTACTTTAGTACAAATGATTTGAACTTTGCACATTCCCACAACTCTGTGGGAAATGGAAATTGTGCTTCTATTCAATTTTATTTTCCTCAAAGTCCAGTTTGGGTCCCATCTTTCCATCACTTCAAATGTAGTTAATACTCCCTTTTAGGTATAGTTAATGTTTGAAATGAGTAAATAAGTGATCAGACATAAGGCAACTGCAGATGGCATGCAGTTTATACAGGTATGACTGAGACCATTAGGCTCCTGAACATGGCACCTAAAATCTTTGTTTATTCATGGTTTTCATGAATGTCTTCATTTAATTATCTGGTTTTTTTTTTTTTCCTTTTAGTCTGGAAAAGAATGGAGGACCATCTATAATTCCTGTCTTTAAAAAAGGTAATTAATTTTTCTTTTATTTCTTTAATGCTTGCCAGACGTGGCAGGCTGTAATTCTACCTTAGGCTTTCTACTGCTGTGATAAACAAACACCATGACCAAAGCCAATTTAGGATGAAAAGGATTTATCTCATCTTACAGCCCGTCATCCAGGGAAATCAGGGCAGGAACTCAAGGCAGGAACTGATGCAGAGGCCATGGACAAGAGCCAATTTCTGGCTTACTCAAGTTTACTTTCTTTTTTGTTTTTTGTTTTGTTTTTGTTTTTTTTCGAGACAGGGTTTCTCTGTGTAGCTTTGTGCCTTTCCTGGAACTCGCTTTGGAGACCAGGCTGGCCTCGAACTCACAGAGATCCGCCTTCCTCTGCCTCCCAAGTGCTGGGATTAAAGGCGTGCACCACCACCGCCCGGCTTCAAGTTTACTTTCTTATACATCCCAGGACCACCTAGCCAGGGTGGTAGCAACAGCCACAAAGGGCAGAGCCCTCCCACATCAATCATAAATCAAGAAAACACCCATATGCTTGCCTACAGGCCAGTGTTATGGAAGCATTTTCTCAACTGTGGTTCCCTTTTCTCAGTTATGTCTAGGTCTGTGTCAAGATGACAAACCAGCTTACATTCTATCTTTAATAATTCAAAATGTGGAGACAATCCTAGAGGAAACATCTGGTTTGCAATTTCACACACAGAAGACACCTTCCCTTTATAAGCCTGTATTAATCATTTAAGGTCTTCCCTACTATCAGTTGCCAAAGATTTCTCTGGCAGGATGGCACAGTGGGTAAGAGCACTTGCCAATAAACTTAATTACCTGAGTTTGAACTCAGGTAGGAGAGAATTAATTCCCACAGGTTGTCTGTTAGCTCTGACCTCCACACCTGTTGCCATACACACATAACAACAACAAAAATTAAAAGATCTTTCTCTGTTATTTCCAGGTCAAATAGAAATAAGGCACCATCTAAACACGTCTTAAGCAATCTTGCTCTTCTAAAATTTCATGTACAATTATTCTGAAATTTTTACACCAAAGGCCACATTGTTTCCATTGATACTTGACAGTTTGGGTTCAGTTGGTAGTTGACAGTTGGGTAGTCTAGGTATGAGGAACTCAGAGTCTAGATCTTACAATATTTTAATTCCTTTCTATTTTATTTTTAAAAGTATCTTTTCATACTGTGTACTGTGTGTCTATATGGGACATGTACACAAGTGTCAGATGCCAGTGGAGATGGAGTTACAGGAGGCTGGGTACTGCCTGATGTGTATCCTGGGGACAGAGCATGGGCTCTGCAATAGCACTGCATGCTATTAACTGCTGAGCCACCTATCCAAGACCTTGTTAGGTATTTAACAGGGAATAAACACAAATTACTTATTTTCATGCACATGCTTAAATCTACCAACCTTAGAAAGGGCCCATGACAAAGCATAATAAATAATAAACGTCTATGATATAACCAGTCAGAAAGAGAGCAGGAAAATAAGAAGAGGAATTCAGGCTTGGAGGATGGCCCAGTGGGCGAGAGCAAACGCTGCTCTTCTAGAAGACCTGAGTTTAGTTCACAGCATCCATGTGTAGCTCACAGCCACATGTGATTTAAGCTCTGAGGAATGTGACACCCTCTTCTGGCCTCAGTGGGCACCTACATACTGAATACATTCACACACACAAATAAAATTTCTTTAAAGAGAGAGAAAGAAACATTTATTCAGGAGTTTCTGTAGAAAGCAGGTATACGTTTTTGTTAGGCAAAGAAAATAATAAGTAATCATATTATACTTAGGGCCCTTGACTTGAGAGACATTTAACTGTGGCCTCTTACTTCCAGGGAAAGAGCATCGAAGAAAAACAAGGCCTAAAATCCAACCGAGAGATTCTCTGACTTTAATACCCCCTGTAACTAACTTCATGGGGCTCTTCAAAACAACAAAACAGGCCACTGTTTCCCATAACATTTTCTCTTTTTCATCTGGAATTTCATCAGATATCATAAATGTATCAAGACCAAGAATAGTGTGTTTGAACAACCTTGGGAAACGTGAGCAGAAAGCCAACACAGAGCCCACAGAAAGCTAATAATAAAAATAAAAAAAAGCATTTGAACATGAAAAGACTCTTGAGTGGTCTTTCAGGGAATGGAGTCTATTTTGTTGTTTGAATGGAAGTTCTTTATGTTAATATAGAACAGATCTTCTTTCCAGTGTTTCACATAGAATTTAATATCAGGTTTGAGTTATTGCTTCAAAAAATAAGTAGAATTTTTATATAGAATGACTGCATTTATACCTGTCATTTATCAACTGTCATGAGTAGATAATATATATGTATATATGTATATGTGTATCTATATCTTTATATGTCTCAAGAGTTAGAAACATTTTTGAGTTGGTATGCTGAGTTAAAGAGCATGCTAACACTTATTACAATACTTTAAGTATTACCAAAGTGCGAGGCTTATGAAACGTGCAATGTATAATGTCTAAATACTCAATCTAACATCTGGAATCACCACCCATCAGGTACATAAGGGAGTGTGATTAAATGTGTGGCCACTAGAGCTGTCCCATTATCTACAGAAAGTGCCTTTACTCTGCATTTGATAAGGGCATTCTTGTGGCTGAGAACTATTGTAGAATATTTTAAGGTGTGTTACTTTTGTTTATGTTGCATTTGTTTAACACTGTGAAGCTGTGTTACTGTGCCTGTGTAAAACACCTGATGGTCTAATAAAGAACTGAATGGCCAATAGCAAGGCGGGAGAAAGGATAGGCAGACCTGGCAGGCAGAAAGAATTAATAGAGAAATCTAAGAGAAGAAGTAGCCACAGAAGGAGGAGAACTCCAGGGGCCAGCCACCCAGCCAGCCACGGAGTAAGAGTTAGATTTACAGAAGTAAGAGAATGGAAAAAGTCCAGAGGCAAAAGGTAGACAGGATAATTTAAAGTTAATTAAAGCTGGCTAGCAACAAGCCAAGCTAAGGCCAGACATTTATGATTAAGAATATGGCTCTGTGTGTGATTTATTTGGGAGCTGGGTGGCAGGCCCTCCAAAAGAGCAAAAAACAATCAACAATAAACTATATGAGGTGGTTGCTCAAAAGTTCCATATTAATGGGTGCAAGCTTTGATATTGGTCCTTTATTTTACAGCAGTAGACAGACATGATCAATGCAAGCAAGGCTTCACTTATTCTTTCACTTCTCCATCCCTTTTCTCTATTCACTTTGCCTCCATATACTCTGAAGGCCTTTCTGTAATTCACGATCTACCTGGGCTGCAGTAAGCATTGACCATACATATTAACAAACAGTTGTTATAATAATGATCATGATGGTGGTAGCCACCCTCACTTAAGGCTTTCACAGAGCTCATCTGTGTTCTTAATCACTGCAAAACTGCAAAAATAAAATATATTATTAAATATTTAAATCTAAGTTTTATCAATTGCTCCGAGCTGCTATTTTCTGATGGATTCTAATAGGAAATGTAGGAAAATGTATGTTTAATATTAGAAAGAAATGAATCAAATGGTAAGAAACTATCATTTTTTCAGTGTCATTAAGGGTAACTCTTGAAGTAATTATTAAGCCTCTACCATGAACAACCAAGCCTTGATGTAGCTTCAGGTGGGCTCAAGATATTTTACAAACAACCACAGGCACTTCCTGAGTAACTTAGCTTAACCAGACTATTCTACCATCCTGACAACTTACAGTATTTCTCCCAAAGAATCACTGCCAACTCTTTAAAATATTTATTTTGCTGAAAAAATCTTGAATACAATATAGTCTAACCATAGTCTCCCCAACTCCTCCAGATCTTCCCACCCACCTCCACACCCTTTTTCTCATTAGGAAACAAATAGGCAAATAACAACAAAAACTCCAAACAAACCAGAACTTTTTTTAAAAAAGTAAACACAAGAAACAAACACACACACAAACCCATAAAAACATAAAATTGGATCCACAATATACAAGCAAAAGACCAGTAAAACAAAACAAACAAACAAAAATGTCCAATCAAAGCAACATGAGACAGAAAGTCTACAAATATGTCATTGAGTCCATTTTGTGTTGACCATCTACTGCTGGGCACGGGACCTACCCTGAAGTGTGGTTAACACACCCAGTGAAACTCCGTTGGAGAAAACTAATTTTTCCTATGCAAGTGGATTATCAGTTGGAGAGAGCTTCTTGGTTCGGATGTGAGTTCATGTCCACTTCCCCTCTCTGCACTGGGACTCCATCTGGCTCGGACCTGTGCAGGCCCCATGCATGCTGCCACATCTCTCTGAGCACATATGTACATCAGTCTGTTGTGTTTGGAGGCCACTGTTCCCGTAGAGTCATCCATCCCCTCTGGTTCTTGCAGTCTTTCTGCTTCCTCTCTGGCATAGCTCTCTGAACCTGGGGAGGATACCCTCAACTCTTCAAGATTAATTTTTATTATTGTATTGTTTTCTTTTAAAAATTATATACAAAAAAGCCTCGAGGACATACTGAGCATTACCAGGTGTGCTGTAATCAAGGATGTGGGAGGTTCATGCAGGAGGCTTGCTAAGAGTTCAAGACCAGTGTGAGCTATATAGTGAGTCCTAGACAAGCCTGGGCCACAGAGTGAGACTGTCTCAAAAACAAAAGAATACAAAACAACAAGCCCCCATTTGATTTCAGTGACCCACTAAGCTAATATACCTTTGCTTCACTGTAAGGTAAATTTGGCATGTGTTCATCAACAGAATTCAGTGTTGCTCCCTTATCCCAACCTTCTCAAAGCCAAGTATTCAAGGATTAGAGACATGGCTGCTGTCTAGGGTTCACTCATTTTTTTTAGCTATACTTTCCCCTTACTTGTATCATGAAATAATTAGTAATTTTGACATACGTGCATGATTATAGCACTTGGAACAACTTTTAACATTTTCAAAACACAGATTATGAGTATATTCATAATATAAATTTTGGTAAATTTTCTTCTATAATTTATATGTACTGACAGCAGTAGTCACATGAAAGGAGTTTGTTAATTTATAATCACATACACAAAATGTAAATCCAAATGTAAAATGTGAATTCCTGAACTACTTGTTGCTTTTACCTGTTACTTCTTTACCAATCCTATTATACAACAGCAAACTAATAACAAAGAATAAAAAGCTATTTTAAGTAATGGCTATTTCCAGTTGTTCCATTTCTAGGAGAAAGTAGGTGATCATAAATTGAACTAAAGAATTGCTTATGGAACTTTCTGAGAAGCTAGCTTAAAATAGGACTAAAATAAGAGATGTTTCCATTCTAGATAAGAATAGTGGTATATGCCTGTAATTCTACTATTGGAATACTCTAAAGTGAGGCACCTGAAAAAAAAGTTTTTTCTATGCTAAATTTTTATCTTTACCTTCTCTAGCTTTTCAATAAAACATGTCACCAAAGACTAGAAAGTTCACAAAATTAACAACTTGGTCCAGTATACAGAAACATCTCGTGGCAAAATCAGTAGACATAGCAACATTTTTCCTTTAAACAAATTAAGATTTATTATCAATTTTTAAAATGTTACGTGTATGAGTGTTTTGCTTGCATTTATGTTTGTGTTCCACATGCATGTTTGGTGCCCTAGGAGGTCAGAAAAGGATGCTGGATCCATTGGAACTGGAGTTATGGACACTTGGGAGCTGCCATGTGGATGCTGGGGTCCTCTGCAAGAACAAGAAGTGCTCTTAACCACTGGGCCCTCTCTCCAGCCCCAGTAAGACTGTGCTTACAGCCCCAAATGGATATAGTTACTTTAGACCAAAAAAAAAAAAAAAATAAATAAATTTACAGTATCTACAATACCAAGGTTCAGAGAAAATTATCTAAAACAAACCTTTCTCATCTCATTTATTTTCATCTTAGTAAATATAATTTAAAAAAATATTGGGTGTGAAAGTATGTGGCCCAATTAGACAAAAATTAAAAGCATATAGTCTTCAGAGCATGACACCTAAAAACTTACTTAGCCAGTAAAGTCCATATTTCTGTTGGTCAAGTTCTGTCATAACTCAGGGGTCTGTGATTAGATACAGCTGAGACCTGGCTTGATTTTAAAACTGCTCTCATTGAAGAAGTCAGTCTACTGTAGTAGCGGTCAAAAACTAGCTTCTACTCTCCTGAAAAAAAGGGAAAATGACTTAGGATCCATGATACAGGGCCAGGAATCAAAAGAACCACTGTATTTCTCTCAAGGATATTTTTTTTCCCACCTGCCAACATCAGTAAGTTCTTCATCCTTTGATTTCCCTGGTTTTTGATAATAAAAAAGCCATTCTCTTTTGAAAAACTGTAACATGCAGTTATTATCTTTCAGAAGAAAAGATAAAAAAAAGGAATTTTAAAAGAGTCTTGGGCCTGGTGAGATAACTCAGGAGGTAATGTACTTGCAGGCATGGTCCCAAGTTCAATCTCCAGAAAGCATGTAAAACTACCAGGCACGGCAGTGTAAACTTGTAATCCCGTGCGAGGATGGTGGTGACAGCATCTTGCTGAGGCTCCCTGGTCAATGTCCTCTAGTCTAATTGGTAAAGCTCCAAGACAATGAGAAGCCTGGTCTCAAAGGAGGTTGACAGCATTCCTGAGAGTTAACACCTGAACTGTGAATGACTCCTTGCTACCATACACTCACATAGGTACCCCTGCACACACATGTGCCCTCCAGGAATATGCATACACACATGCATAAAAAGTCTTGAAGCCTAATGAACATATTTATATAATTTGATATCAAAAACTTAAAACTTATTATTTGAGACATTACCTGTAGAGACCTTTGATAATCACCAATCAAATTGTCATTTTTAATCGTGGTACTTTTATGGCAGCTTCTGCAACTTCTTTGGATATGTCTACTCCAAGAGGACATCTGCATGAAAATCAGAGGTCACATGACTTTATGTTTGATTCACAACCTGTCACAACTTTTGCATATGATCTGCTTGGAGTCTGGACAATGGTGGAAGTAATGGAGAGTCGGCATAGGTGACGAGGATTCTTTTTTTTTTTTTTTTTTTTTGGTTTTTTTGAGACATGGTTTCGCTGTGTAGCTTTGCGCCTTTTCCTGGAACTCACTTGGTAGCCCAGGCTGGCCTCGAACTCACAGAGATCCGCCTGGCTCTGCCTCCCGAGTGCTGGGATTAAAGGCGTGCGCCACCACCGCCCGGCCCACGAGGATTCTTACACAGATACAAACAGGACAATGCATGACACTACCCCATTCATAAGAAACCTTAATTTTGAGGTATATTTGCAATTTCTACTGCTCCAAAGGACTGTAAATTAGTAAGTTTAAAACAAAGTGAAAGCTGGGGATATATAGTTCAAAGGTTCAATGGTAGTGTTTCTGTTTAAGCACACGTAAAAACTTGGATTCCACAAACTCTCAAACAACAAAAAAGCAAATGGAAAAATAACCCTTAAAATCAAACATAAAATACAACAAAAGATGTCATAATCTTTTACAAAGGTCAAAATGGAAATAGCACTAAACACATAAAGTCAAGCCTACATTTGTTTGTGTTTGCACTTTCCTAGGTTTCCATGACTTCTCAGAGTTCACAAGTTGCTCTGTCCTTTTCAACTTGCCCTTGCTCTTCTAGACTGAAGAGCTCTTCACTTCCTACCCACTTTATCTATTCTTCCTTAGTAAATAAAGTGAAACCTCAAATTCCTGCTTTTCTATGATACTGCTCAAGGTTAAGACTCTGACCTGACCCCAGCTGGATAAAGCCATCATCGCCAGCCCAGACCCTGCTACAAGGAGGCACAACCGGACCAGCCAGTATCATCTGATAAGCAGCAATGTAAGTGATTCTTTCAGACACTACCCTCAACTCTGGCCATTCACAAATGATGTCAACATCAGTGGTTCCTGAAGCACAACTCTGGTGCTGAGAAGTGCAAAATATCAGAAGAAATAATGTTCAAATATACTTATGTCAAGTTATGGAATGTAATTGTCCTAAATTATTCCCTGACTAACTTGAACAGAACTTGATAGCAAATTAAAAAACTGCTCTTGGAACTGTGGTTTGAGAGAGGACATAAGGCTTACAGTGAAGAGCTGCCTTCTGGTTTATTCCCATTGATTCCTGTAGGAGCACATATAATCTGAATGTTATCTTCATGTTTCCCTCAAGTTTGCTAACACACCAACCGTCCTTAGACAACGCTAGACAATACAAAAGTACAGCTCATGCCGATGGCTTTTCTTTTATTAAAAATACTTTATGTGTATGCATATGTGCCTGAGTGCATGTATGTATGCATTCAGGAGCCCATGGAGGTCAGGGTGTTGGATCCCCTAGAACTGGAGTTAGGGTGGCTGTTAGTTGCCATGTAGATACTGGAAACAGAACCCAGGTCCTCTGTAAAAGCAGGGAGCACTCTTAACTACCAAGCCATCTCTCCAGCCCTGAAAAGTGTTCTTTTCTAGTAAGAAATAAGACGATGTATCACCATTATTCATGGCCTGTAGAAACAGGCCATGGTTCATATATGGCCTGCTAAAATTTTTATAATTTGATTCTGTAGCAGAAATATTTCTTATCAACTATTTCTCAAGTATATTCATGAAAACCAGTCATTGTCCTTAATGTACCACCAGAATGTCAACAAAATCTTCATATATAAAAAACATACTCCAGACTTTCTTTTTCTTTTACAATGTAATTTGTATAAACATGATAAATGGTACTACGTACTTTGGTTCATATCGGATGTCTTCTACATCATGTAAAATGCCCAAGCCAGCACGTAATCTTTCAATCCCATTCCTGAATAATAATAAAACATTGAAACAGCCTCAAGATATGAAGGATGGAAATTTAGTATGGTAAGATGGTAATGACTATTTACATGATTACAAGTAAATCACATATTCTCTTGTGGATTACCATGCAATCATAACGCCATTATCAGTGCACAGTCTTGGAGGAGGACACAACAAAGTGCATTGTGTTGCATCTGCTACAATTTCCAACGCTCTTCGGATATACAAGTTACTTGCAACACCTCCAGATACAACCTGAAAGAATTGGGAAGAGGAGTATTAACAGTTATCACACATGGATATGAACCAAGCTCTTACTAAACTTGGGGGAAAAAAAACCCAGCTTTATCCAACAAGAAACTACTTGAGGTTAAGTAATATATCACTTAATATATTTAGTGATATATTTGCAGAAAATTTGGAGATAATAATCACAATTTTAAGCCAGCATGTATTCATTGCTAGCATTTTAAATACTTTCATAGTACCAGAAAGTGTCTCTGCAACATTTGCAATCATAATACACCAATATTTTAGACTGCATTTTGCACTTTTATCATTGAGCTACCCAGCTCTTAATAAACCATTATCTTTAATATTCATTTTTAATATTCGATTTTATAAATTGCCAGATTTAGACATTTCCTTAGTTTATAATTTTCAAAGATTTAAGACCTATTAAGTAGGAAGATTATCAAGTCTTGTAAGCATATTTGATGGGATTTCATTAAAAGATGGAGGATAGCAGCCTCCTCCTCTAAAAATAGTAATCACAAGGGTTATTCTGGTTTCTTTATTGTAAACCCTCTTTAGAGTTCAAAGAGAAAATGTAGCCTGGGAATTTTTTTTTCTACATAGGCTGTACAGATGCTCCATAAAGATGTTATGTCTTCCTTCACAATGGGTATACATCACTTTTATTCTATATTGTTCTACATTGTCCATTATGAGACACAACGACCTACTCATCCTGAATAAAGTCAACTAGATTCCTGGGGGTAAGCAACATGCTGGAAAGCATCCCATTACTAGCAGGAGAGACGACAAAGCTTACTAATACTGCATTAGCTGGAGGTAACAGATCCTTTTGCTTGCAAAACAGAATAGCACGATGTGTTCTCATCACAAGGTGGCGCGCTGTTGTATGCTGCACTGCAGCAGCAATGTCTGCAGCTGAAGACAGGATTTGCCCCTTCTCAATGCCTTCTTCTTTCTCCTTGCACGTTATTAGCTTATCGATAACATGCTGAAGTCCCGTAAAAGAAAAATCGCAATTTTTAGCATTCTGCATGGGAGGATTGATAGTAAAATGGAATCTATTTCCTTGTTTGGCCAAATGTTCTATAGCCTTTCCACCACTCATCGTAGAATATTCTGGATGTTTGATTAAAGAAAGTCTTCTTGCCACCTATTAAAAACAAACATTTAAAATTTTTTCATACAATATATTTTGATCATAAATTAATTAAGAAAAAGATTACCCACTATGACCAAGTTAGCTTTAATCAGGGATAAAGGGATGGGTCAAAATATCAGCGTCAATATATGTAATAAGTGACATTAAAAAATATATTCTTAAATGAGTCACAGGCTATACATTTTGAAATCATAAGATATAAAGATAATGAATTCAAAAATTACTTTAAAAATCTTGAGTGAATACATGGACTATGGCTAATTTCAGGAAATCAGGCCAGTCTTCTCTCGCAGCTGAACAGCAGTGTCTAAGTGCTGCCACCCTAGCTTTTCCCTCTTATACTGGGGTCAGAAAACTGAAGTTGAGGATGGTTATTTAATGGTGAACTTTGAAAATAAGAATCTGACTCATTCTTTCCCTCCATCATTTCAGCTGTTTTGTATATGCAGTAGGCTCCATACTACTCAAAGAAAATCTGTTGGGATGTTAGCAATTATGCACTGGATTCTAAATTCTATGTTAATCTTTACTTTTCCCTCACAGGGTCTCACTATATAGCCCCAGTTGGCCTGCAACTCACTATGTAGACCAAGCAGACCTTGAACTCATAGTGATCCCCCTGCCTCTGCCTCCCAAGTGCTGGGATTAAAGGCATGTACAATGTCCTGCTCCTAATCACTATATATCCTTATATTTTTACAGCATGCTTACAGTGCTAAGTTTCCCAAACACTTTCACAAGAATTATTTGACTAACTATATAGCAATAACTACAAGTATTTGAGCTTTTGCACATAGATGTAAAATTCTTACCATTTTATTAAATGGCTAAATATTATAAAATTGAGATGGACATAGTGGTAATTCATACTTGTAATCCCAGCACATGGAAGGCTGAAGCAGGAGAATCACTATGAGTTTTGAGCCCAGCATGGGTTACAGAATGAAACCCTATCTAAAAGAAAAAAAAAAGTTATTACAACTCTTGGAGCTCAGTATGCAGACTGGACTGGCCTCGAACTCACAGAGATCTACATGCCTCTGCCTCAAAAGCTAGGATTAAAAGTCTAATTAAAAGTGCTAGGATTCCAGCACTTTTTTGAGACAAGACCTTGCTACATGGCCCAGGATTGCCTCAAACTTATTAAATAGCCAAGGTTGGCCTTGAATTTTAGTCTACCCTGCTACCCATACCCAGCCTTTTGCAGTAGTTTTTAAAAAGTTTTTTAGTCTAATCAGGCATTGCTCAGAATTCCCTAGGTGAGCAGTTTGTTTCTGCTATTCAACTGAAAGAGCCAAAAGAAATGACTTCTGAAGCAGTACCTTGTCAAGCATGTCACCTGGTGCTATGTCCAAAGACTTCCCAAGAAGCAGAAAATCCGACACACCTCGGACTAATGCCAACAGACAGTGACCTCCAGAAATCAAAAGAACTAGAAAAGGAAATTCTACTTTATTGGTTAGCCTAATTGTAAGTGCATGAGCCTCCATATGATGAATAGGAATGAATGGCTTTTTAAACTGATTTACTAGCTGTAAGCTGAATGATAAGCCTACGCCCAGGCTTAGGGCCAGTCCTGGTTTGATGGTAGTTGCCACCGCTGAGAGGTCTTGTGGAGAGAGTCTACCAGCAGAAAGAGTTTCTTCTACTATTCGCTGAATATTTTCTCTGTGAAGCTGTTGAGCTACTGGAGGAACAATCCCACCTGTTCTGGGGGGAAAAAAAAGACAGTTTTTAAAAAAATTGGGAAAGGAGGAAAACAATGTTACAACTGAAGGCATTCTTACAAATGAACCATTACATTACTATGTATGTTAACACTGTGTGCTTTATAATGCAAGACTGATAAGAGTTCAGTATTTTCATGCTGTGTTCAAAATGGTTTATTTCTGATGAATGAGGTCACCAGGACACTCATAAAGAATTTCAAAGAGGTCATGAACAAAAGATGGGCAGGATAAAACTGTATTTAGCTCTCATTAATCTTGAGGAGAGAATTTTAGAAATTAAATGCAAGAGTTATTTGACTAAAGTATATTAAACTGGATACAAGAATATGAGGGTCCCAGGCATCAAAGATGACTCATATTTGCTAGGGATGATGGGGAGAAAGAAAATATAAACAGTGAGAAATATGAAGACAGTTTTGTGAAGGTGAGTTTATTTTTAAACACACTGCACTTGAGGTCAGACCAGGACAGGAGATAGCTTGCAATCCTAAAATAAAGTTTGGGAATCTAGTGCTCAGAGTTGGCAGTGGACATTTTTGGTCTGTGTAGGACAGTGAATGATCACTCCAAACACCTAGCTAAGAATCAGCAGGGAAGGTTGGGAATGAAGCTCCAGGGTAAAGCACCTGCCTAATTTACTCAGGGTCTCACATTCAGTTTCCAGCATGGAAGGACCAATGGGACAGGGACAAAACATGGCCAGCAACAGATACTGTAACTTTTAACTGGTTTACAGTCTGGGAAGCAATTTCACAGGTCTGTAAAATTCACCTCTGACATCAAAACATCATTTTAAAATATTTGACATTGCAAGACCATGTGGGATGGTTTCTATACACAGAAATAAAAATCTTCACAATATTCAATGAGTATTTAGTTACAACAATATATTATATATATATATGTGTGTGTATATATGTATATATATATATATATATATTTCAGGAAATGAGGATATAAGGAAATCAATAAGTGTGTTTTGTAACAAAATTTTAAAAACTTATTTAAATATACTTATTTGATATTCTTATTCTCTGTTAGTAGCAACAATACTCTTAGAATCATTTGAGTTTCAAGGCTCATTTCTTAGACTACATTTTTATTTATTTATGGAGGGTGGTGCATGTGGAGGAGGTCAGCTGACTGCCTGAGTTAGTGTCCTCCTTCTACCATTTGGGGGTCCAGGGTTTGAACTCAGGTCAGCAGGGGGCTTTCTTTACTAATGAGCCATCTCAATGTCCCTTCAATATTCCTTTTTTAACCTTTGTCTCCACACTTAATGTTTAGTTTAATAACATTCTCACCGACACCACCACATTCAAAGCCTCTTTACTTTTCTAGCTGTATCTTCTGATTCTTAGAGACCACTGCAGATTGTGATGTCAGAAAACACTAGAAAGCAATTTGTTGTTGACTGTTATCTTCCAACTCAAAATATTTACTTGATTGGAATTTGAGGGTTAGAATTCAAGTCCTTTCTTCCTACTCACTTTTTCCTTGTGTCTTATATCCATTCCATGCCTTCTTTGGTATTTAATTTTTAGAAATTATGCTAAGCAATAAAGACAAATAATGAGTAAAATTATGGCCTTATTCTCAAATAATTAATGAGAACACATTTTCTAGTCATATTTTAATTTGTATAGAGAGTGTAGGTGATTAAGGAAGAAAGGTAACATAGACATGAGGAAATCATTTAAATTTGGAGTCTAGGCAAGGGACAATGTAGGATTAAATTAAGTTAGTGAGAAAAGAGAGAACTATCTCTAGCAGTATTTGAGGGTTATGTTTACCACCACTGGATGACTGACTTGGATGTGAAGTGGAGAGGAAGTGAAGAAGTCTGAAGAAGAGGATACACTAGCAAGCAGCACTTTATCATCACACTTTCCACATTACTTAGCAATGACCTGTTCACTATCTGTCTTTATAGTAACAGAAGTGTTGTTCTCAATGGCTCGATTTTATTAACTGCAGCAGGTGCTCTAAAATAATTCATATTTATTCATATTTAACACATGCTATGATGATGATCCAGATTTTATAAATAAGAAAGCTGAAAATATATGTTGTCTCAATGTATAGTACTAAACCAGAATATAAAAGTACACATCAGCCTGAGCAGGCAAGCACAGCAGATGGTTGATCACCTGGGACCCTGCCCTTGGTTGTGGGTTGTGCACACTAGCCCCGCCCTTGGTTGTGGGTTGTGCACACTAGCCCCGCCCTTGGTTGTGGGTTGTGCATACTAGCCCCGCCCTTGGTTGTGGGTTGTGCACACTAGCCCCGCCCTTGGTTGTGGGTTGTGCATACTAGCCCCGCCCTTGGTTGTGGGTTGTACACACTAGCCCCGCCCCTGGTTGTGGGTTGTGCACACTAGCCCCGCCCCTTGGTTGTGGGTTGTGCACACTAGCCCCGCCCTTGTTTGTGGGTTGTGCACACTAGCCCCGCCCTTGGTTGTGGGTTGTGCACACTAGCCCCGCCTCTTGGTTGTGGGTTGTGCACACTAGCCTAGTTACTTCACCTGTGCCCACTATGCATGCACACTCTTCTCCAAACGATGCACTCCAACCACTCCCTACCCAACCTGCATGGGGTTATATGTACTCCGTCTATGAACAATGGTAGACATTTCCCTGGCCCTATAACAATCAAATTTAGACAGTTTTTATTCAAATGTATCCCCAACATCACAGAAAAAGAATAGAAGGCTGAGCCAGCCTGAACTAGTTTGGATGCATGTGCAGTAAGGCAAAACTGTGTCCTCTAATAACATTTTATGGAGAATCTTCTATTTATCATCTTATGTCTATGCATAACGGGGCATGCATGTGATTAAATCAGATGCATTATGGAAGGGGACATGCACAATGGGAAAAATGAGCATATGATCTAATCTATTAAACAAATTAAAGAAGGACCCAAATTCTGTCCCTGAGTAGTCAATCCCTCCCTTGAATTTCATGAAAGTCCTGAACAAGAGTCAGGGTCTGAGTACTCTTAATCATGTGTCCCGTTACCAATCTTGACAGCATATCCATTTACAATCTGCACTATCATTTTGCTTCTTTTGTGAATCTATGTGAATCCCTTTCAATTCTTTGGAAAAGAGGCCAAGAACCTGGAAATACTGAGCCCTGACCCCAACACTGGTAGCAAATCCATTTGATCTTTGCCTGAATAACTTACCATATCAAATGGATTTGCTCTCTGTAGCTCTGTGAGCATCAAATGATGAAAGGACCTTCTAGTTCATTTCCCAGTGTGCCGTTTGAGGCTCTATTTTCCCCATAAATTATCCCCAGTTCACTAAGGAAGCTATTTTTGTTTATGGATATGAAAAAGAAATCAGAGGATAAAGAACCTGCCTAACATTAGTGAGACAATACTAAGTAATACCAGACATTTTTTCATTCTTCAAATGCTGGAAACTGATAACTTGCAGATGTATTTCAATGTGATTTGAATTAGCCAATCATTTATTAAAAAAAAAAATCTAGAGATTACATGTGGATTTTCACTTTGTTTTGAAAATTCTGATACTTAAGTCTTACATTCTTGAGTGACAACTGGCTAAAGCTGGGTATATTTTGCACTTTATATCCAGTCCAATTATTTAAGTCACCTGTCCTGTGGTCCTCTGCAAACAGTTGGGTTTAGAAACCTTCTAAGCTTTAATACAACAATGTTTTAAGTACTCATGTGAATTATATGTGTAAATGAGAATAGTTTGTTTGTTTTTTTCCTCAACTATCAGGTGATGCTTTCCTGGGACTGCTGTTGAGACCACAAAACATACACGCAGGAGAAAAAGGCACAACAAAGAAAAATCATTGGAAGTAAGTGCTGGGAATGAGCTTTCCTTTTTTCTGTTGTCAGGACTGGCAAAAGTTGAGATCCTACTGTGGCCTGTGGAATGTCTTAAAAGCCGGGGCAAGGTATGAGATATTTCTACAGCAGGCTTTTTGTTTGTTTGTTTTGAGACAAAGTCTGACTAAGTGGCAGTGGCTGACCTGGAACTCACATCCACCTGCCTCTGCCGTGGAAGTGCTGGTATTGAAGGCCTGTACCACAAGGCATGGCTCTGTATATTGCAGAATTTAGTGGTTTTTACACTAAGAGTAAGAATTTAACTACTAAAATTTGACTTTTATACATGATAAATGCAAAAGAATGGTTTCATTTTTCTTTAAAAACAAACAAACAAACAACAACAACAACAACAAAAACAGGGAATGACCAAAATAGTTTCTACTTACTTTAAATGAACCTCGGTCTGGGAATGCATTGCTTCTCCCAACACATGTCCAGCTTCATCCACTACAGCAGCTGCTGTATCATCACAGCTCGTTTCAATTCCCAGGACCAGTTTATGACAAAAAAGTCTTCCAGGGCAAACACTAAGACTTCTTAAAAGTCCAAAAATGTTACTCTTTGGTGGTTTGGAAAAAACTCCTGCTGTCTTACTTAATATTAGCATACTTTATACTCTACAAATGATTCCTAGGAAAGAATTACAGAAACATTACTTGGAATTGTCATTTGCGATTAATTCATTGACTTAAACAAAATAGTGAATATTTATTTTTTAAGTATTCATTCTTACAAAATTATAAGAACATTAGTAAAAGTTATCAAAATCTTATAAAGGCCCCATAAACCATCCAATATAAATTAATTAGATTTTACAAGAAGAAAGTGAGAAACATACAAAGTTATTAATACTCCAAGCTGAGTGTCCCTAAAGTGAAAATCTAAGTCACTCTACTCACCTGACTCAGGGTTAGTGGAAACACAAGAAACACTAAAAATATGACGTAAAATTGCCTTGGCTATGTTTATAGGATGCAAACAAACATGAATTCCACGTTTAGCTTTGGGTCTCATCCTCAGATATGTCATGTATATGACACATCATAAAATTAAAAAAAATTATTGAAATTTGGAACACTTCTGGGTTGAAGCATTGGGATAAACAATGCTCAACTTTCACGTTATACAACAGTTAATGTTAGAGTACAATAGTTGTGTGGATAGTCCTATTTAAAATGAAGTTAAAAAAATTTTAAATTCACGGCAAATAGAACAGATTAAAAACAAAACAAAAAAAGACCTCCCGTGTCCTGGGCCTCCTCTCCAAAACAGAATGTACAGCACGTAGTTCAGCTTTTTAAAACATACGCACACCACTCAAATTTAATTTTGTGGTTTGAAAACAAGTCCTCCCATAAAGCTCATTCTAAATGAAACAACTGCAGATACTTGTATCTAATGTTTGGAATCACATCTCCATTTTCTTGTAATAGGTTCACTACCCCAACCTTCTTTCTAAATCCTTCTCCCCTACCCCACCACCCCCAGAAGATAGCAATCTATATATAAACACCCTAGCATTTGCACACTGCAAAGCATGTGTGGAATGAGCAAAACTAGGGTGAGAAACCAAAGCCAACGTCTCAGCTGGGAAAGCGGACCTGCAGGACCAGGATGGAGTGAACTATTCGCAGATTCGAGTCGTGAGCTCCCACAGCCACTCCAGACGAATTAGAGTTCCTCAATTTGGGCAGCACAGCTGGAAACAGCTGGCTCGGAAGCTACGAAGTCTCTGTCGGCGGAGAACTGCAGAGGAGCTCCGACTAGATCTACTTTTTAAAAAGCCTCTGAGGCAAGACCTGTGCAATACCATCCACCTTGGGAAGCTGCGGGCGTCCGCTCGAAGCGCCGGCGCCCGGAAGTGACGCCACCGGGCAGCGACACAGTTCTCGGGCCGCGGTGTTGCCTATGGCTCGAGAGCCGCTTGGTGAAGAAATGCTTCAGGACATCTTGAGCCTTCCAGCTTGCCCTCCGGCGGCGTTCTTGCCAGGTTTGTGAGCACCAAGGTTACACTGACGGCGGCTTATGAAGAGGGGTCCGAATTCAGCTCTGACTGCACTGCGCCCACACGACGCTACATTTTAGGAAAGAGTCCTGCCTTTCCTTTGGTGCCACCGTGAGAAAAAGGATAGGGTACATTGTCATCCTGTTTTAGGGAAAATGTCACCAGACTTACAGGTAGTGACCTAAGAAACCTTCCACTTTCATGGGGAAAGAGTATTTTCATCAGAAATCAGAACACCAGCAGAATTAGCACTGGATTCCCAGAGGATGGAAGTGTTTGTGGTTGTAGTCTAAACCTTCGCTCCCGCTCTCCATTCCAAGGGAAACACCTGTGGCTGGCTCATTCTGTTATCACGAAATCAGCCAAATAAGTTGTGAACATTAAAAAAAAATTGTGTTGCATTCTATAGCCCCATATCACTATGTACTCAACCTTCTGTGTAGCATGTACTAATTTTTGCATCGTCTTGTTTTTGTTGACTTGGTTTGTGAATTTAATTAAGCTTGCATGGATGTATCTCGAATCTTTCTTCTCCCTACCAAGCTTTAAAACTGTAGCAAGCAAAGGATTTAAGATGCAAGGTTGGGAAGTGCCAGCATACACATCTTTGCAGAAGTCTGGTAGTGGCAGCACAAGCCCTTAATCCGACCACATGGCAGGCAGGATCTGTGTGTTCAAGAACACAGCCAGCATGTTGACACACGCCTTTAATCTCAGTACCACCCATAGAGACCTGGAGGTCTGTATAGACAGGCAGTGACGAGGAAGTCATGTGGTTGGGTTTACAGCCAATGAGAAGGCAGAAGAAAAAGGCAATGAAAGGGGCACAGGAAGGAGGTCTCTCTCTCTCAGGGGAAGGACAACAGCAAGTGGTAAGATAAGGTGGTCTTAGCTCTTGGCTACTGCTCAATCACTGGGCGTTTCACTCTTTATTTGGCTCTGTGTTTTTTATTTATTTAATAAGACCATTTAGAATTACATCTACAACCTTCTCAAAGTCTATTAGCAAAAGACAGGTAATAGGCAATAGAAACGTAGTGAAATGGAAATGCACATTTTTTTGACTAGACAAAAAAAATCCCGTATCTTCCCTCATAAGCACGACCCCCCACAACCCACTTACTTTTAGGTCCCTTTACTTAAGCCTGACTTACCACTCTTCAACCTGTTCCAAATTCTCACATCAACATATACTAAGACAGTGGTTCTCAACTTCCCTAACGCTACAACCCTTTAATACAGTTCCTCATGTTGTGATTCCCCAATCATAAAATTACTTTGTTGCTATTCATAACTGTAATTTTGTTGCCATTATGAATCAGAATGTAAATATCTGATAAGCAGGATATCTGATATGTGGCCTCTGTGAAAGGGTCTTTTGATTGCTGATGGGTCATGACCCACAGGTTGAGAATCATTGATCTCACAGTTTTGCAACTTTCTATTCTGTTAAAAGGATTATATTAAATTTGTTCAGTTATATTCCATTTATTTTTATTCGGAATAGGATAAGGGAATTGGGGGTCATATTTACTGATAATATATATTCATGTAAGAGACACAATTAATATGCTGTGTAATAATGACTCAAACTTCAGTTAGATAAGATAGGTCAAAATTAACAAAATATTTTGATAAGAAAAACTCTTAGCTTTTGGTTTAATGAATCTATTTTGTTAAGTGTATGAAAAGAGAAACCATCACTTGACAGCTCATGCTGAAGATGTGAGGTTTTTGTTCCACAAAGTAAACCAATGATCAAATCAAAATATTTGAAGTGGTAACATATTGCATTAAAAAAAAAAGCATGTAGGAGACAGCAGTATTATAGGCACCTCTCATCTCATCCCCTCTTGTATTTACCTTGCATTCTACACAATAAAATCAAAGTAGAACTTAAAGAAGTCACTGAAAGTGGGAGAAATGTGGGACTGTATTTTATGGAAATGTAACAGCTTTAGTAGTGCTTATTCAAGACTGTTAAGTTTAAACAAGTAGATAAAGAGTTTTGTGGCATAAAGATTAGGGGTTTGGCTCAATATAAACAACTCATAACTTCATTATAAAATGGGTTATGCTGTCCTCTATTACTGTTAAATCAGAACTTACTGGAGTAGTCATCAGTGCTTATTTGAGCTGATGTAGGGGACTGAATTCCAGTCTTAAGTATTTTTCTAACATAGCACTGAGATATGTTGTCACATATTTATTAGGCTGATTCACAGATACTTTTAAGTAGTTGTTATTATGCTCCCTTAGAATCTAGTTTGGGAGACAGTAACACCACCTAAAACCCAAAAAAGAATGTGGCATGTCAAAAACACAGGAGTCAGCTTGGAAAAAACATAAAGCAGTGAAAATTAGCATAAAGGAAATAGAAAACTTTTGTAGGATATTATTTCAAGGTGTGTTACTTTTGTTTATGCTCTTAAACGCAAAGATGTGTTTGATTAAATAAAATTCACCTGCGGTCAGGAGGTTGGTAGGGAGGGGCGAGGATATGAGCAAGGAGAGGAGGTGAACTACTTGCTATTCAGCCTCTGAAGAGCAGAATTCCATCTTAACCTTTGAATCTTGACTTTTTTTAGAGGGGAATCGGTTTAATTAAGTTCCCTTCGTAGCTCTGCAAGAGTTCGAGCAGCCAGCTACAGCCCTTGAGGCCTAACCACTGCTAATAGCAGCAGAGTTGCAGCTGGTGATTCAGTCAGCTGTGCTTAAAAGGCAGCAACCACCTTAAAAAAGGACAACAGAAAACCAATACCAGGGCCCCACAGTAAAACCTACCTCACTTAAGATGCACTGACAGGCTGGAGAGGTGGTGTAGCACTAAAAGGTGCACCTCCAAGTTCTGTTCCCAGAACCCAAGTCAGGCAACTCAAAATCCCTTGGAACTCAAGCTTCAGGAAATGGAACACCCTCTACTGGCCTCTGCAGGCACTACACTCACATACAAACCCACATAATTGTAAGGAAAATCTTTGACAGATCTAGTGGCTCATCACTAAGTCGCCAGTATGTGTCCTGACTTCATTAGAGTTAATTAAGTTTTGTTGTTGTTAAGGCGGGATGGCCTTGCACATGCAGCAGCCTCCTCCCCTAGCCTTGATGGTGCTGAGATCACAGACATAAACTACCACATCCAGATTAATAAAGTATACATTTATAAAAATGGCATTTTTTCAGGTTTAACACAGCCATTCACCTAGTATTCAGACCAAATACTAAGTCACTTCATTTTCTGCTTTCCAACATTAATCAGCACATCCACAAAGGCACAACTCTTACCGGTAGCTCATTTCGTTCACTACTTCTCAGTCTGAACTGCCTGGTTGCAGTGGCTTCCCAACTATTCCTGTTTTCCATTCTCTGGCTCATTTCAACAGCAGTGAGCTTTAAATACAATGAGTCCCTTCCATCTTCTGTGTAGTTCTGTCATGCTAAGAATAAAATCCGCTTATTTCTGATTTTGAACGCCTTGTAACCTAGCCTGTGCTGTGCCATACTGCTGGGATACTCATGGTTGCCATTCTCCTTGCTTTTCCCTGCCTCTACTGCAAACATGTCTCTGGTGTTTAGGAATCTCGGCATCTGTTACTACTCCTACTGGCAATTTTCTCTAGACCGCTGTACCTTCCACTCCTTAGATGAAGCAGGTGTCCACACATCCCATACCCTTACCTCCATGGCATTCTTTACTTCCTGAATTACCTACACTGTGTGCACCTCCAGCGAAGAACAGGCTTTTCTTGTTCAGACTCAGTAGCACTAAAATAGCATAACTGAGCAGGCCCCATACAGGTATGAGTAAATAGTTTTAAAGCATTGAAAGTAGAAAGCACAGAAAACATGGGGCAATTTTTTTCTAAATATGTGTAAAAATATAAGCTTTTAAAAATGAAGTTAAACAGAGGAACATTTTTTAGTTGATTTTACAAATTCAGTTGTTTAAAAATAAATCTGAAGTGTCAATGTAGTTTTGATGACTGTCTTGGAAATTTTTAAAATAATCTTACACCAAGGAAAACTTTTTATTAAAGCATCAATTACCAGTAATTGAAAAATACACAAGAAAAGACAAACATACAAAGGCAGCATCATACAAATGATTTTTAAACTCAGTACTTTTGAAATAGGAAACAATGACCTCTACCCCTAAGTCTGTTTATTGCCACAAATTAACTTATAAGTTGATCTACAACTGTTTTCAATCTTATGTTACTGAGTTTTTCAGCTTTATCTTATAACATTTTAGAAATATATTTCTCATAGTAGTAATTTCATACAATTAATGCTAGCAACTATAGGAAGCTTCCCCACATCACAAGAATTCAATATAGTTGTTGCTGTGGATATAGGTACCATTTGGGGTTGTTTACACTAAGGCTCACACATTTAAAGGACATATTAATAGGCAAACCGGGGATCAAGAGCAGGAAACTAAGACCAGACAATGTTATCTTTTATTCTGACTTGCTAACAGAGAATCCATTGCTTCAGTTCTGCTGTTGGAGAAATAGTTCTGCCCAAAGCAGGTCACTCCATTTTGCATTTCCTTTTCTGAAAAATGACAGACTTTACTAATTTGCACAACCAAATAAACAATTATGTTTAAGCTACTCAAAACCTGAATTACTTAAAATAAGTTATTCTCTTAATTGGTGTAGCAGCTTTGCTTCTGGAAAAGCAGTAAAACCCACTTTGTTCCAAAATGAGAATGTTGACTCAGAGCCTTGCCTGTCGTCTATCAGAGTGAGTCATGAAGGTGAACCTTCATAAACTCTGTAATACAATAAACACAAACATGACCTCATTTATCAACACACAATACTTAGCTAGAAAAACCAAAAGAGCATACATATAATGTAGAAAGGGGCTTGTATAAAATAAGAGGATGTATGTCAATATAAAGTCATATACAGTAATAAAAACTTGTATACAGATGATTCTGCTTTATAGAAGTCTGCTTAAACTATGAATAGATCATTGAGTTTTCCTTCCCTAACATAATGAATGCCCATTCACTACAAGCTGGTCCTAGTTTCTTATAAACCACTCGTTTCCTTGGATTTAGTTACTGTACCCTCATTGTACTGCCATCAACTTCTAAGCTGGGCCTGCCCAGCCTGCCTGTAAAGCCTCTCTCGGAAATATACCAAGCACATTAGGCAGAGGCATCCCTTAGTGGAATTCTGCACCTCAAGACAGGCTATGAAGGACCAGTATTTGGCCCTCCAATGTAAATACCTCTTATTTCACATTATCACAGAAACAGTGCAGTTCACTACTCTTTCCTTACTGGGAACACAGTAGCTATAAGAGTTTTGTTCAGTTGCAGAAACATTTCAATACTTATTAATTCCAAAGATCCGAACGCCATGCAGCTGTGGCATTTTGGGAATAAGTACACTCAGGAGAGAAGCTGTGTTTAGGATGAAGTGAGTTGGATCATACTTCGTATAGAAACTTGCCAGAAAGTATCTGCAGAGACAAAAAGTTAGAATACACATAGCATCTCAAAATGAAATTACCTAGAATTGAAAAATATTATAAAAAGGGACCACCAAACACAAATGCATAAAAATAAAATCATTTTAATACTAAATCAAAACATTTTGATCTGGAGTTTCAAAAATGAGGTGCACATCTTACATTTCTGCAGTGTGCATAGACGCAAGCTGATGTTTAGCATCCTTGAAAGCAGACGGCTTTCAAATAGGTTCCATACACCTATGAGATGTCAAGTGTAGATCTGTATTCAGTGCAGTTCTAAAGAAAAGATCTGGTTTTAAGCACCTGCTGTATTCCCAAGGTATTCTGTGGCTCCGACTGGTGCAGAGCTTTGGAGATTAGCTTTTCCACACATACATGGATCAGCATCTTTGAGAGAAGCACATATTCAGTTGCCCTTCTGATGTTATCATCTTGCTATAGCGGAGCAGTCTATAACCAGTCTAACTGGAACCCTGAAAAAGATCTTTTCCTCTAACTTTATAGTCTCACAAAGGGAGACATTGAACCCAGGTCCTCTGGAAGAGCAGTGCTTTTAACTGGTGGGCATTCTCTACAGCCACTATTTCTCAATTTTTGCTGCAAAATCTTTCTTCATGCTTTCACAGACTTGACTGTTTTATACTTTCGCCACTGAACAGAAGGGCATTGTCCATTGTATTCAGTAAGCCGACTGACTTGTTGCTAATGCCTGTTTAATTTATAATTTGGCAGAAGGAAAGGATACATCTTGGCATGTTTTTACCTTATCACACTTTCCTGTAATGGAAATTAGTAACATGTGAATGGAGTATATGAAAATTGCCCTACTCTTAAAATAACCTAGACGATTCTAAGGAAATGCAATTCCAGGTAGAATCAGCATAAAACAGTTTATTTGCTAAGGTTTACATTAGAAAGAGACCTGCAACAGAAGACAGAAGTTTCTGTTTAATCCAGGCTCTTGATTCAAAATAGCCACAAGATCTTTACCAATATAATAGATTGGAATCTGTCCCTTTTTTCTTTCTTTTGAGATGGGCTCTAAGTAGTTCTAGCTGGTCTAGAACTTGTTATGTAGACCAGGCTATCCTTGAACCCATTTGCCTCCATAGTCCTCGGATAAAGGATGTACTACCCACCCAGCTGGCTTGAGTCTGTTTCTTTATCCAAAAATCTGTGGTAACAGCATGTCACACCTACCTGATAAATTAAAGCAAATATGGAAGTACATTTGAAAATGATCAGGGCTGGTGATGTAAGTAACTGACTTAAGACTTCAGGGCACCCTGGGTTTGACACAGGGCCACAAAAAGAAAGAAAAAAAAAATCAATACTATACAGATAGCCTAAATGATACAGTTATGCAAGGAATTTAATCAGAATGTTTGAAATCATAGCTGTGGGTCAAAATTATATTTTAAAAACCAGAAAGACTGTAATATAGATAGATCTTACTTGATTTTTTGGTATATCTCTAATTGAAAATTCATTGTATGTCAAGGATTTTTATGTATATTAAACTGCAATCTTCTATGTTTTACAGAAACCTAAGGGTTTCAAGAAAGTGGCCAAAACAAAGCCAACAAGGGCCAGAAGTATCCTAGCTGTAGTGTCTCTGCACGTGCAAGGCCAGTGTCATATAGCTTCAAACCAATACAGCCCACACCTGTACTAAGGACGTCTAACCGTCTTTCCTGCTATTACATTTACTTTTGTTAATTATAAAGACATTTTCCTTTTGAGTTTAATTTTACATGGGATGAAACCAACCCATTTCCATAAAATCTGATAAATATGAAAGGAAAAGGTCTATTGCTTTATGATCCTCTCTCTTGAAAATGTCCTCACTTATGAAAACATCTATCTAAAACTTATCTCTCTTAGAAAATCTTTTCCCTTACTCTAGACTGCATTGATTCTATCATGGATGTAGTTTTATGTATGAAGCTGTATGCTATAGTGTTAGCAATCTATGTACTTATGAACTCTTAAAAGGGAAAATATGCATTTCTATTTCTCAATTACCCCTACATAGAGCCAAGGGAGAAAAAAGAAGATGGTATTTCATTTAGAATCAATTTGACCAAAAGGACAAAAACAGGACTATACACAAAACATTCAAGAAATACTTAGGTAGAAATTGGGTAGGATAAAATATTCAAATGGAGGGAATAATGATGTAGGTACTGGGAGGAAAACAGACACCAGATTCCAATAGATGCTTTACAAATAATTATCTGACTTATTTCTTAGAGCCTCAAGATTAAGTCAGGTACCATTAGTTAGATTTTGGGGGGAGGGGCTGGGTATGGGGCATTGTTAAAAGCTGCATGTAGCTCAGGACAGCCTTCAACTGGCTGTGCAGGTGTAGACAAGTTATTGAACTTCCTGTCTTGACCCCCTGAGAGCTGGGAGTACAAGTGTGCACTACCATGCCTGGTTTTATGTGAGGCTAGGAATCAAATTCATGGCCTGTACATGCTGAGCAAGCCCTCTCCCACTGAGCTACATCCCCAGCCATTGTCAGAATTGTACATGCAAGCACACCAAGCATATTAGATCATACAGGATTCAATGCAGGTCAGTCTCATAACTCAAGTCTGACCTCGATGTTTGTAAACCAATCTTTTCTCAAGAAGCCTGTCCTAAGACATCTGAACAGAGATGAGTAGCCAATAAAATTATCATCATCATCATCATCATCATCATCAAATCATTGCTTAGGATGAATAATCTGACATGTAATACAGAATGATAGGGTGTTTATAATTTCCTTATAAGAAACAAAGACACAATGTACTTGATTTATGAAGCTTAGAATGTTAAGATTCATTGATGAACAGTAGTGCTTCTAGCTATATTGATTCAAGTAAAACTGGTTTGTTATCAACTTCCTAAAAATGCCTGTGCCTTATGACTCTACTTGTGGCAGCTACTTACTGATAAAAATTCTTAATAAAACAGTTTTGAAATTCAATTAAATCTGATAAACACTTTTCTCCTATCCAATCCATTATATCTTAACTTTTCTACCACTTACAGAATTATTGGAGAAATTGTGAAAAATTTCCGAGAAGATGTAAACTGTACTCCATAGTCGAGCTGTTCCCAGTGGGTTAGGAGCCTTGCTCTACCCTGATCGGGAGTTTCAAAAGGCGTTCCTTTCACTGCATGCAAAAACACATACATCCCCTGAAAAGCAAGCAACAGAGGCTATCAAACACAGTTTATCTTTACAAGTATGTATCATGATGGCTCTAGGTTGTTGGTGAGTATATGATTTAAATTAAGGACAAGTTAGGTTTTCATGTAACAGTGAAAAATTATAGTCAGTATCTATGTAGTATGAAGCTTTCTGGGGTACATAACTATTATTTGGTTAAAACCAATACAAGGGGAATCAAAAGTAACATGTTTCCATAAAATAAATGTTAGCATACACTACATTTATGTTTATTATTATTGCACTGTTCACAACAGCAAAGGAACAAGCCTAAATGCTCATCAATAAAGTAATGAATAGAGAAAATGTGTATTTGTACCCCTTAAGAGTTTTATTCACTACTAATGAGTAAACAAACATGTGTGTGTGTGTGTGTGTGTGTGTGTGTGTGTGTGTGTGTGTGTGTGTGTGTGTGTGTGTTGTGCATCTAACTGACAAAAGCAAGGTAAATCCTTTAGGGAAGGAGTAACGAGAGGAATGAGAGGAAGATAGAACATTGCATGTTTTCTGGCATGCAGCAGACATTAGCTCTTACGTATATACACATATGTAGAACATGAAGGAAGTAGGAAAGGGATGAGGGAAGAGGAAGGGCTGAGAGGGGAAAAAGGGATGAAAGAGGACTACTACAAG